TGAATATCTGCTTCATTTGAGATTAATCGAGTAGCGCTGCGTTGAGCCATGTTGCGTTGAGATGAGAGAGGTGGGCAAAGTTGGTGGGGTGCGTCACTCGCTTGTACGCGTCACTCGCTTGTAAACTACGTTACTTATAGTAGAAGCAAACTACTCATCCCAGCTAATGTAAAACAACCGTAGACATCTTCTATAGGTGTTTTATTCAAGGCCTACGGCTTTGCGGATTATACCATTGTTCGAATTATCGTTGATCTCGGCTTAGGATTGAGAACAGTAATCTACCAAAGAATGGATATCTAGCTAAAAGTCATCAATGGGTATCATTTCATGATTTGACAACCTTATCCGAAGAGACATTAGCACCATCACTACCGCTATCACTTGCCACTTCCTGGCCATCTACCATGATGACATCGCGGCCAATCATCATATGCTCAACATTCACCTTGGGACCCGTGAACCATTTGTTCGCAGAGATGAACCACCAACATATGATGATGAACATTGGGCTGCCGTAACAAACTGACGTCCAGTTCATTGTTTTAGCGCTGTTGTAGTTGTTAGTTTCCCTTGTGTGAATAACAGAGTAGTTGGAAAAAAGGAAGGAGGATACTTTACGTCAATTGATTGCCAGTGACACTGGGGAAGCAGAGAACCGGGATCATGAGAGCGACAAAAGAACAGGCGACAGTACCACAAGCAATCGAGCACTTGCCCAGGTTCCACGGACCAGGTCGGAAGCGGTCTCCAACAAAGAGGATGCGAATGGCAATAGGAATAGTGAAAGATCTGGAAACACACCAAAGCGTTAGCAATAAACCATCATCCCTATGCATCCGAAAAAAAAAACATCTCGGACAAAACTCACGTAAACGCAGCAATACCGCCAATCGAAAACAGTGCTCCAACCGCAAGATTGCCACCGAAAATAAGTGTTAAAAGAAAAATCCCAATAACGGCATTTCCCCACACAGCATTGACGGGAGTCTTAGTATACGGATTAACCACCTTCCAGATGTTACTTCCGGGAAAGACGCCATCACGGGCATACGCAAACGTAACTCTACTCGCCGCAAGCATGCAACCCTGTCCCATACTAAACCCTGCGATAACCGTCAGCGCAAGGATACACAGCGCCATCTTCTGCGTCATGCACTGCATCAGGTACGCAGCAAAGGGCTGACCGAGCGGCGACGCAATGACAGCGGGGACATCAACGACGGTGTACGCAACGACAAGCTGCAGGGCCCATCCGAGCACGCCACCGATACTCGACGTAGCAATGATAGCGCGGGGCGCCGCGACATTTGCATTTGAGCATTCCTCGGAGAGATGGAAGGGCGCGCTGATTCCGGACATAGTCCAAATGACACCGATAAACGACATGAGCACGCAGATACCCGGCGGGAACGACGTGCCCTGGTGGATAGTGCCCCAGACTTCGGTCGAAGGGGTGAAACGCGAGAGGCCGCGCTCAGGGCGGTCAGTGCCGGCAGGAATCATAATGAGGACAGCGACGACGGCGAGGAAGTTGAAAGTCGAACCTGCAGAGTTGAATTGTGCGAGCCACCGCGTCGGCATCGAGGAGATGACGCCGTGGATAATCATGATACAGGATGCGAGCAGAAAAGTGTGGAGGTTGCTTGGTTTGTAGGACGGATTGGTAATACTCGCCGCTGCCAGAATCATGGATGAGATGCCGTAGTTCACTGAATGCCCACATAGTCAGCACACGACTAATCCCTAAAACTTCAAAATATGCGGGTTGAAAAAAAAAAGTACCAGAAGGAGCCCCCGTAATCTGCACCAGCCAATTACTCCAGCACGTAACCCACGATGCAAATGGCGCCCACGCTGGAGGCGCCAGCACAGCAGCTGCATAGTACATTCCTCCGCTGGTGGGCATACTGCTGCACAGCTCTGCCATGCTCAGAGCCACGCACTGAATGCCAATCATTGCTATCGGCCACCCCCAAGCCATGCCTGCGGTACCCGCGTATCCCATGCTGAAAAAGAGTGTCGATGCAAAACTCGGGAGAAGCCCTAGGATTGCAAAGCTCACGGCGCACGTGGCGTAGAGCGAAAACTCTCTTTTGAATTCAGATTTGTATCCTAGTGCTGCCAGCGCCTCTTCGTCTGCGTTGTAGGGCTGTTTTGCATCGTAGGGGTTGTCGTCGTCCGGTGTCATCGATGTCACGGGCTCCTCGGCCACAGGGCGGATCTTAAGAGTCGTCATTGTCCTTGTAACGTTCGTATACTCGTACAGGAAAATAAAAAAGATCAATCAAAGAACAAAAAATTTCCAGTTGTATCAAATCAAACAGCACAACCTTTTTGACCTTGTTCTTTCCCTTTTGCTCATAGGGGAAAAAAAGAGGTAGGGAGGTTGATATACAAAGATCTCGTCTCGCAACGTTGTTGCAGCTGCCAGTAGTTTAGAGAATAACGCCCACAAAAAAAGCTATATTAATATATATGTATAGGCACCTATACATTCAAGAGCGGAACTACCATACCTGCATGTACTCTATACGCTTCAACCCATCGCAGCACAGTGCGCAAAGTTCCGGCATATCCCTTGCTCGTCTTTCCAAACTAACCTCTTCTCTCCCGCCTACTGTGTATAGATGCGCGCGGTGGGTAGGACATCCCACAGAGACCCACACACCGGGAGTACACTCTACTTTGGCATTATCAGTGCCCCGAGCGATACCGGGGTGGTCGAACGCGTACTTCGTTGAGAGCGACGAGGTCGGTGATAACAGAGCGACGCAGGTGGACGATTGGATGCGAAAGGATAGCGTCGCTCTCGCCTATCTCTTTATCAGTTGCAGTGGTGTGCGGGGGGGGGATGCTCGGCCGCCGGGGTTTGTGTGTCAAGGGCTCACAGACGCTAAGCTGTGTACACAAACACTAAGAGCTTGTGTACCCAATGTAAAATTATGGGGGCGGAGTGCTTTGTCTAAACGCGTACTGTAGCGAACCGAGGTGTTCAGAGTATATCAGGTCCAAATTGGCAAAAAGGGTCGTTGAGACTCGGCATGCTGGTGTGAATATGGGTGTGCTTCCATCGCATGGTGTTGTTTGAGGTGATGTCAGTTGCTGCATGCTGGTCGTACGACTGTTGTGGTAAGCTTCGGTCTTATTGTTTCACTAGTATTGGTTGGTGATAGCGAGAAATCAGATAGGCAGTTTGGAAGCCAAGCAATATGCGCTTACTTGGGTCTCGACGTGATAGACTTTTGAATGTGTAAAATGGTTAGATCACACATTTAGTTCTGGTTGGTGAAATAGATATGGCGACCCTAGCCGTTAAAGTAACCCAAGGCAATGGGAAGAGATACGTACAACCCACGCAGACGTGGCTGTACAACGGAAACATTCCGTAGTGGATACCGACTCTACATTGACTAGATTCTAGATCCGGACAGTCAGTAATAACTGGTACTCGGAGTATAGTCTGCCTTTGTTCCTGGGAACGCTCCAGCCGGAGCGTCCCGCTCATCCTCGTCTGCGCTGTCATCTTCGTTGCCCTCGAACGCTTCGCTTGGGTCAGGAGGCGCCCTCATACGGACGAGTGCATGCTCATCGAGTGCTGGTACAACAAACATCTTTGTCGTATGATATTCTCGGCCCGAAGGCATACTTGCGAGTAGTGGCTCTGAAGGAGGAACGAGTTGAACGCCAACCTATAGGTGTTAGCAACATGACTTGTAGAGATGTACATAGAAGAAAATTACCGTGTCGTTCTGCTTCTCCCACTTCTTCAGTAGCATATCGACTATCCTTCCCTCTTCAAATTTCCCTGCATCAGTGCCCCAGTCTACCCCCTTTTCAATCTTGCGGTCTTCGCGCTTCTCTTGCCACTCTTTCTTCAGTTTAGAGAAACCTGAAGTCTTTTTGTCTTCTTCTACGCCTAGCGCTGCGAACCCCAGTTCTTTCTTCGCACCACGTAGCCACGCAATACCCTCTCCAGTTTTGCCTCCTGCTTCGGCATCACAGGCGAGAAAACGACATGCCTTTCCCTTGGCAGTCCGTCTCAAATCATCCACGTACTTGATTAAATCATCGCTGATCTTTGTTGAGCGCCCAAGCATAGCTTGGGCTTTCGCAGCGTGTTCGGCAGAAGCAAGACACAGCCGAGCAAACAAGTGCGCGCGGACTTTGGGAATTTCCACGCCCCTGAACATCCAGTCTTTGCTTTGTTTGTTCCTATCCTCTATCACAACACTTGGGTAGGGGTCGTCTTTCAAGACCGTGATTAGGGTGGCCTCGGCCATGGTGAGCTCTGCAAGCGCCCCCAGCACAGCCGTTGAAATATCAACAGCTGCAGGCTGTGAACTATACTGCCCAGAGCGATTGAATAGATATGTGTGTATCGAGTTTGCTTCGAGAAAGTGCTTCATGGCGGCACCAATCGCCGTTGCCCGTTGTTCGGGGGACGGTAGGGTTGCATTGTAGAGAGTGTGTAGCTGTGCTCGGGCTTGGAGGCTGTGGACGTAGGCCAATGTCGACAGAGTGTAGCACAGCTCACTGTCGAGACTCTTCAGCTTGACTCTTGCAGGCTCGCGCCCTGGTATTGAGGATCCTAGTGTCGAGCGCCATTCTACTTCCAGCTCTTTGACCAGCACCAGGTCGATCTCTTCTCCCGCGCAGCTTGCGCCACTCAGACCGGCGTCCAGTGCAAACAGGTATGGTATATAGTCATTGAGCGCGGATATTACAGTTGAGAAGTTAGATGCTTGTGAGGAAGGCGGTATGCGCTTGTGCCGCTTTAGCACGTCGCGAAGAACACCCCGCGCAGTCGTCGCACAGTTTGGTAGTGAGGGATGTGTACTACTATTGAAGTATTCGGTAAAGGATACAATTGATGTAGTCGGCAGCACGAACGGAAAGGGCATCTTGCTGAGTGTTGGTTGCTACGGTTGGGAGCGGCCGATACAGGTACGCGGCAGTGGGGGGGTGCAGTGAGTGAGCCTTGGCCTCATCATACCACGACCAGAGGTTACTACGAGAAACAATGAGCATAACCAGGACTCGACAATGTATGTATATATTTTACAAAGAATCACGTCAGTTCAAATAATTGTAAATTGTACCCTTGCAGTTAAGAATTGGGTTCCTGTAATTCGTGCTACATCAGCCTCTCATCCGGCACGCTTATGTACAGATTCGCCTGTAAAGAAGACTGTCGCATCTCTCCTCACAATGCCCATCAATCGCCAGAAACCCGACCTCTGCATTGTCCTCGTGCTGTTTCCTGTTGTTGTTCGGTAACATATGGTTCGCCTGGCATACGTGTAATCATGTGTACACCCATTGTTCGTTCCGGATTTGTCTATCGCTTGAGCGCCTCGTCGACGTAGTTTTGTTGTGCGAAGAGGTATCCCTTGACCTTTGCATCCTTGAGGAGCTCAAAGTATCGCTCTGTATAGCCATTGTCAGCCGTGTTCCATGCCCGCGTTTGCACTCTGCACCAAGTCTCGGCACCCATGTTGTCAACTCTGAACCCCCACGTCATTTTCTCCAAGCTCTCAAACACCACAATAGATCATTCAAAATATTTAGAAGTAAAGCGTACCTCGCAAATGTCCACACTTCTCTAAATGGTTGACTCCCTCCCTCCGGTAGCATTTGCCCATCTCTTCCCGAACTAACCTCGCCATCATGCTCCTGACCCACTGCTCCCTAATAATGGCGTCCTGCGCAGCCTTCAATGCCTTGTTGTCCTCGTAGTCGACGCCATCAAAGGTTGGCGCAACCTTAGGCTTTTTGGCGAGAAAGAGTTCGGACTCGGGTGTCGGCATTGCGGCGGCGGCAAGGTGTGCGCGGGCGGATGAATCACGTCGATCTATCGGAGATGCTCTGTAGAGAGCAATCCAAGCGGTCCTGGTACGGTAATTGGCGTCGGCGGTGGTGTGGATGCGCGCGAGCGTCGGTGCTGGTGAGCTTTGAATGGATCCGCTGCGATTGGCGGCCAGTGCACGTGACACCGTATCATCACTTGTGGCAGGCGAGTGACGCATAATCGTCATAAATATTTCTTTTTGCTCTCAGGTAAATTTACCAAGCTTCTTGGTAAGTTTATTAGCATTATCTCTGTTTGAACACTTCCAATTTGTACTGTCTTTCTATTGCTATAATGATCATCACTTAGATGCATGGATACTGCAATGCAATGGCGGACAAACATCAATTCCGGGCTGCTTTTGTCTTTGACACGATTGAGCATTGTGGTGGTTGTTTTTTTCGACTTAAGATGAGCTTACTTATCAGAAGGTGGAATAGTTTTCTTTTTCCCACCTCCAATAAAGACACACATTACAATGTAACAGTCTCTCTGAGCCACGAGGACAAGACCCTCAAACCGATGATCATCTCGGTCTCGATATACACCTCGCAAAATCGATTAGATAGAGCTGCCACTCCATTAGTGTTAATCTTATTATGTAAATAAGCATCTGCCTATCATGCTTCAGTATTGGATATGTACAATTCTTTTGGCCACAAAAGCCTCTAAATTCATGGAACAAAACTCCGGCCATGATGCAACGCTAATGCAAACCCTTGAATTCAATCACACACAAATCATGCAGTGGTTTCCTTGTCCTTTTCCTTTCCAGCGTCGGTTGCTTGTACTTCTGGGTCAATAGGTAGTGAGCCTTTGCTAGCTCTCTTCTTTCGCCTTTCAGCTCGCTCAGCTTCCCTTTCTAGCCTCTTGGTCCTCTCGACCTCGAGTCCAGTCTTGGTTTCCTCATGCTGCTTGTCGAGCTTATTACGACCGATCAAGAAACTGACTACTAGCCCCGCGGCAGCGAATGCAACGTATAGTATCCACATGGTGCTTAATGAGTCTCCAAACGCCTTTCTGGCCACAAACTTTTGGTCGGCGGGCAGAGCTTGGATGAGACCTACATTTGCACCCGCAGAGCCTCCACCAAACGCCGATGCTCGTTGTGCGCCCAGTGCAGTAGCCAGTTCGGGTTGTTTTAATTTCATCTGATTGTTAAACACCACACCGCCTACAACAACCGAAATTGCTGATCCAAGGTTGCGAACAAACCCAAAAGTGGCGGTCGCAGTAGCAATGTCTCGTTTCTGCAAAGCTTGTTAGCATCGGTGTACTAGTTGCAGCAGTAATCATGGCCAAGGGCGCAACCCCGCTCCCTGCGTACAGCTTCGCAATGAGGTATGCATAAGCGACCCGAGGCACGGACTGGTGGAGGAACTTACCGGCACGAGACTTTGCAGAGCAATGAGGGGGCTTTGAAAGTTCGGTCCGATGCCGATACCTGCAATGATTTGGTAGATGATGATCTTGGCCCAGGATGAATTGACGTTGAGATCGATAAACAATCCAAAGCCCAGAGTCATCATAAACATGCCGAGCCAGATCATTGGCAGGTACTGACCGGTTTTCTTGATAAAGATACCGGTAATCGCCGAGAGTATTGACAGCGATACCGCTTGTGGCAGGAGATAGACACCCGAAAGGATCGGTGTAGCTCCCAGAACAGCCTGGAAGTAGAGCGGGAGGAAGTAGTTGCCGCTGATGAATACGAATGCGTGAAAGAAGCAGACGGCCAAGGCAGCTAGGTTTGACCGTTTTGAGAAAAGATCTAGAGGCATCAGGGGATAGGGTGCTACCCGCCACTCAATGAGGAAAAAGATGCCAATAACCACCGCTCCGAAGATGATGAGACACAAAACGGTTGCAGAATCCCAGGGGTGTGTGATACCACCAAATTCCAGTCCCAGCAACAGCATGATGACACCGCCTACCATGGCGAGTGAGCCTAGCCAATCAACAGCTTTGAGGCCCTCACGCAGTGGGGTTTTAGGCGTTCTGACATCGAGGAAAAAGAAGAGAATGAAGAATGCAAGTCCATCAAGTGGAAGATTAATGTAGAAGCACCTGTGGTAAGAGCAAAGTCAGTACAGGTTTCACGCATGTACCGTGGCATGCATATATGTATGCATGCATGAGTGTCACTCACCATCTCCAGGAGACCTTTTGCGTAAACAATCCTCCAACGACGGGTCCGAGTGAACTTGCCAGTGCCCAGACTCCGCCAATCATACCATAGTATGCGCCTCGGTCGCGCACAGAGAAAAGGTCAGAGATGGTAATGTTGACCAGAATGGTCAGGCCACCGCCACCAATGCCTTGAATTACCCGTGCAGCAATCAGCATATCCATATCGACGGCAACTCCAGCGAGGAGGGAGCCGACAAAGAATATGGCGTTGGTGAGCAGTAAGATGGGCTTCCTACCGAAGATGTCCGAGACTTTACCCCAGATTGGCGCGGCTGCCGACTGAGCAATGAGATATGCCGTACCAATCCATGTGTATCCTGCAGCACTTTTGAACTGTTCCGAAATTGTAGGCAAGGCCGTCGTGACAATGGTGACATCCAGGGCCACGAGAAGGATGGCGACGGCTAGCGAGAACATGATCAAAGCGATCTGTAGTTTCGTTCTCGGTGGGCGCTCATTGTCCTGTGCGCCAAGTCCTGCAGCTGCGTCACCAGTGCCGCCCACGGCAGCATCTTTCTCCTGTATGTCTTGCTGATCTCCTTGTACTGGGTTGTCTGGTGCTGCAATGCTGAGATCGCTCGATGGTGTGGACACATTCAGGTCTTTGTCAGGCAGTTGCGCATTCGTCTCTGGCAGGGTCCCCCCCGCGGGGGCTGTGGTGTCGTAGGTGGAAGTCATGTCGAATTGTCGTTGGATGACTGGGGAAAAACAAACGTTCACGGTAGCACCGCGGCGGCATGTAGTATATACATAGGTAACGGCGGGCGAAACAGTGGCTCTGACTTTTTTGTCGCACGCGAGTACGATCTTGGAAATAATAGGAAAGCCTCGCGCGATTCGGGGCTTTAGAACGACGAAGACCGAACCAACGTCATTTGCACCAGTGCCAGACCCCTGCAGAGTTGTCACTTGGATCGATTGAGCGCTGACCAATCTGTCGGCAGAAGTCTTAAGCCACAGACACAGGGCCTAGACGCCCCTTGTAAAGAGCACGCCATGAGATGCGAATGTGTATACAATCGTTGCTACATGCGAGCTGGACATGTCAAGGCTTTGTGGCTGCTCCAAACGGTTGATCAGCCCTACGTCTGGGCGCCACCGCAGGGTGGGTCCAAGGCTGCCATACAACGTTCCACGGGCTGTCAACGTCTATCCACGAGTTCCATGGTCGCTGCAGACCTTATCGCCTTTCAACTGCTGCCGTGAGTATTCCCAGAAGTCAAGGGACAGCTATACGCGTGGGATGCGGCTGGAAGACCGCGGAACGGAACGTGTATTACGTAACACACATGGCACACAGGAAAAGTAGTATGTACCGCCTTTGGGAGCGCCTCGACGGGAGAAGAGCAAGGAAGGGATGGGTGCGGGTGTGTACTTGGTAGTACGAGTGATGGTTGGGCAATGCAGCAGCTCGCGTGAAAAGCCTTGGTCGAAAGTGAGTGGTTTTTTTTTCTCTTCAAACACGGCCATGATTCATGAAGGGGTGCCGTATCCACTGAAATCATACCCCATAGTTGGCTCGTTCTTCGCGCGTTCCAGCAGGAGCTGAGCCCGCTCCAGGCGTCGAGATTGAGAAAAGAGGGGATGTCTAGAGAGATATGTACATTTACGTGATGGGCTCAATGTCGTATTGGCGCAGCACATGCAGGATACGGCACCGATAAGGGCCCTTGAGGTGGATCCGGGGTCCTCCCGGGCTCGAACAGCAGGCGGATTTGCTTTGTTGAATTGCTGCACTGCGGCCTCAACGTCATTCCCCACAGGTTCGCCAACGCCGAGAGGTCGAAGCAGATGCGGAGGAGCAGGCGTTTGGCAGAGGGCTGTGGACGGTTTTCGTCATATCGCTGGGTATCGGTGTCGCAGTTGCGAGCAGTGGCTTGGTGTTGAGAAGCTAGGTCGAGGGCTAGTGAGGCGGGCATGCGTCGCATTGCATATTGGACTGGAGCGCAAGGCGGCCGCAGCATGTCGTGGAGCTGGGGGTGGGAGTTGTTTTTGCTCTGCTCGCAGCGCAAACTGGTTCCCCCGGCCTCGCCCTCGTGTGTCTCGTGAGGTCATCCGCCCGCCCGCACAGCGCGAGGCTTCAACGCTCCTGGTCGGAGAAGGGGGCGCTCGGCGGCGCTGCAGCGTAGGTACGCAGTATACGGCATGCATCCCCCGGCCACGGGGCGCGCAGAGGCAGGCGGCGAGGCGCGTTGTCAAGACGACTGCACCTAGCAGCGGTCTAGGCTTCCGAGTCCTTCAATCTGTTGGGCTGCATGCCGATCAAGCGGACAGGCCTGGGCTGCAGCTACTGGATAGCAGGACGCAACGCTGTGGAGCCCGTCAACGCGTATGGGCAGTGGGTGAAGGGCGTCCGATTTGCCAGGGCGCAGTCCCGGGCTTGCGGGGTTGCGGCTAGCCTGCTGCGTCGCTGCGTCGTCGGTAGGTGACGGTCTGGGTCGAAGCTTTGCGCACTATTGCCATCCATATCCAAACCTTCAATTCTCCAGTCCTCCCTCCCCAAGCCGCCTGCGAATCCCCTTACCCGCCCTGCAACGCCCTGCCTTGTTCTGCCCCGGCGTCGACGACTTCCCCGCCCTGCGAAGCCTCTCCCCGATCTCTCCCCGCCGTCCCAACGCCCCAAATATACCTGGACCGCCTCGCCGCTCCGAGCCGCATGTCGACAACCACCACCCGGCCCAGCTCTGTCGACGCCGTGTGGCAGACCCTGTGATTGATATTGAGGCTCTCCACGCCTGCCAAAAGTCATGACGGCCATGCTGTCGCTCCCCCGAGACGCCGCGCCCTTCCAACGCTCGCCCTCGTCATCGTCGCTCGCCTACGACGCCTACTCGCCGCTCCGCAAGAACCAGTACTCGCTGCCCGACCTGCGCTCGCCCTCGCTGAGCTCCTCGCGCACCTCCTCGCTCTACTCGACGCCCTGCAGCAGCCTGTCGCTCGACACAAAGTCGGACGACTCGGGCAGCGACGACGATGGCCTGTCGTTTCCCAACTACAGCTCGGCTCGCCAGCACGACAAGAGCACGCTGTCGACCGATGCAGCCTCATCAAAACCCACGAGTGCTTCGATGCACTCCCCGGCGCCACCCTCGCCTTCGCCCACGGAGGGCTTTTCGCCCGACTCACCGCTAACCACGCCGGACCCTATGCCAATGTCCGAGGATGACACGGCCGTGCGCAAGGAGCCCTCACACCATGTCGACTACCTCTCGTACGAGTGGCGGGAAGAAGACATTTGGTCGTCGTGGCGGCACATTGTCGAGCACCGCAACGTCTACGGCGAGCGCTCTAGACTGGAAAATGCCTCGTGGCGAACGTGGGCCAAGGCCCAGTTTAAGCTAAAGACGGTGTCGCCCGAAACACTGAATTGGTGAGTGCTGATGATTTCGATCGGCAGCCACGGCAGGGGTGTCGATCAACCCCCATCCGTGCGCCCTACTTGCAGGTTTTTTTTTTCTCGTGTCCTGTGCCCTGGCTAACCAATCGCTCAGGCTCAAGGACGTCGACGTGACATGGCTCTACGGCCCACTGCAGCCCGCGTCCAACCGCTTCTTCTCACAGCAAAATTCAGAGCCGCAAAGCCGCCTATCCAAGACGAATTCGTTTGTCAATGGCGTCAAGAAGCCGATTCTCAAGAAGCGGAGCATGTCCGAGGCCATGCTGCAAAAGTCAATTTCGTCGTCGTCGTTGGTACAGCAAGCGGCCGAGTCGGTGCAGGCCCAGCGAACAACCGGTGTGACGCTGGACCTGCGGAGACCCCGACCAATCATCGGCCGAGTCACTCCCGACTTCCCCACATCATCCACCCTGTCCCGAGGCCACTTTTCAGAAGGAACCGACTACTTTTCTTCAAAGTCCACCTCGGAGCTGCACACGCCGGATCACGGAGAAAAGCGCCACATCCGATTCGACGACAAGGTAGAGCAGTGCATTGCCGTCGAGTGCAAAGACGCCGACGATGAAGAGGACGACTGCAACCACAATCCCTGGGCAAAGTACCAAGACAATGATTCTTCGTCGGACGAAGGCGTCGTCATGATGAAGCGATCACGTAGAAAGAAGCCGTTGTCGCGCACCGCGTCGACAGCCAGCATCAGCGGTGACAACAAGACCATTGCCAAGCTACCATCGACCACGCTCAAGTATCGCACCGACTCACCAGATGTCCCCGAGACGCAGCAATCACATTCGCTTGGATTCTGGAAGCCGCGTGGGCTGTCTCCATCGCCATCTTCAGAAACACTGAAGCCTTCGAATCCCTCACGCAACTTTCTGCTTGCCGAGGATGACGAAGAGGGCGAAGAGTATTTTGATCCTGCCAGTGCATACAGCACAAACCGATCAAGTACACCAACAGGCTCTGAGCCTTACTCATTTCGACGCAGCGAATCATCAGCATCGTTGCAAAGTAGCCAACTTCGAAGGACGCCATCGGGCATGTTTATGCCGTTTGGAGACGAAGAGGAAGAGCCGTTGCCACCCTCCTTGCTAGGCAGGGTGGTTGACACAGTAAATACTGCACGAGACATAGGTCATGTTATATGGAATGCGGCATGGAGTAACTAGGACTTTGACTTTAGCGCATGGCGTTCGGAACTTGTACTATTCTTACGGACAGGACTGGGGCAAAGAGCATACTACACACTCGGGTCGCACCTGACGGCCTGGCTAGGCGGCGGTGTTTTGATATATATCTCGATTGAAATGTTGCTTATCAATGCATCCGTGGGCCTATTAGCAATGGCTCCGTTACCAATGGCAATGCATGAGTTAATTCCCAGAATGATCGGCTGTAAGCGTGCGTGGGGCCTTGAGATGACATTGTGTACACTACTAGGCTTACCATAATTACGGAGTCGCGCGGCTGAACAGGGCTGTGTGGGTGGTGCCAGACGACGATGCCAAGGGTCTGCCTGTCTTTCAGTGGCTGTTCGTGCGACGCCTGATTTGATTACCCCAATCGTGACCTCGTCTCTAGCTACCTAGTAGCTTGAGGAGATATGCACCAAGCATGCACACAAGGGGCCTGTTGCCGCATCGACCGTTTTGAAAGTCATGTTCACACCATTGAATACACTAGGCAAGCTATGTTTCACGCGTCGGCCTTCAATGGCAACTTGAACAATGGCAAGGCATTACATAACCACGAAAGGTAGTCGTTGTGCTTATGCATTCGGACTAGCGGGAATGCTAGGGGTGCTGGAGGTAAGTAAGTAGGTAGTAAATGTCTCCCGCAATAAAAAGGCAGGAGCTATTGTGCACCCAAGACCGACGTCCCAGGAGCTGCATGATGATACACACAAAATAGGCAATTGATTATGTTTCATTCCACGCCTGCACAGGGCACTTGTATCAGGACCAATGTGCAAGAGGCCAGCTGTCAAATGCGCATGCGTAGAGCGTTCTGCGCGTTTCCATAGCCGTTGGCAGGGGTCCGTGGCACCCGGCCACTAACCGAGAATAGTGGAGAGCTTTGCTGCCCGCCTTCCCTGAAGTTGACCACCGTGGCCTTGAGCTAGAGTACGACGCCCGCATTTATTTATCTACCACTTCGCCCCAGACTTCCCTTCAACCCTCCACTTCACCCTGATTCAAGTCCTCTGCTCTTCCTAGACGGCAGGCACGCACAATGCGCTTTGCAATTGGTGCTACCGCTGCGCTCGCTGCCGCCTTTGTGCGCGCAGAAGACGCCAGCTCCCCCGAAGCCGAGGCCTCGCCCTCATCCGCCATCACAAAGCCTACCTTCAAGGTATGTTCCCCAGACTGCTCCTTGTTCGAGAGAAGCATTTGCTGACATGTATATTCTGCAGGCCTCAACAGTCAAGGCACCCTTCCTCGAGCAATTCACTGACGACTGGGAAACTCGATGGAAACGCTCAAATGCGAAGAAGGAGGTCAATGACGAAGAAGAGTGGGCATACGTTGGTACCTGGGCTGTCGAGGAGCCTTCTGTGCTCAAGGGCATTGAGGGTGACAAGGGATTGGTTATCAAGGACCAGGCCGCCCATCATGCCATCTCCGCCAAGTTCCCCAAGGCCATTGACAACAAGGATAACACCCTCGTTGTTCAGTACGAAGTCAAGCTTCAGAGTAAGTCTTGTCGCTGTGATTTGGGTTACATCGGCATTCTAACATAAAAATAGACGGTCTTGACTGCGGTGGTGCATACCTGAAGCTCCTCCAGGACAACGCGGCCCTTCACGCTGAGGAATTCTCCAATGCCTCGCCATACATCATCATGTTTGGTCCCGACAAGTGCGGTGCTACCAACAAGGTACGCAATATCGACTTGCTCTTCTATACTTCAATGCTGACGTTCTAGGTCCACTTCATCTTCCGCCACAAGAACCCCAAGACCGGCGAGTACGAGGAGAAGCACCTCAAGAACCCTCCTATGGCGCGTATTGTCAAGACCTCGACCCTCTACACTCTGATCGTCAAGCCCGACCAGACCTTTGAGATCAAGATCGACGGCGAGTCTACTCGCAACGGTACCCTCCTCGAGGATTTTGATCCCGCTGTCAACCCCCCAGAGGAGATTGACGACCCCAAGGACTCCAAGCCCGAAGACTGGGTTGATGAGGCCCGTATCCCTGACCCCGAGGCTACCAAGCCCGAGGACTGGGACGAGGACGCTCCATTTGAGATTGTCGACGAGGAGGCCACCAAGCCTGAAGACTGGCTCGAGGATGAACCCAAGACCATTCCTGACCCAGAGGCTGAGAAGCCCGAGGACTGGGATGACGAGGAGGATGGTGACTGGATCCCACCCACTGTTCCCAACCCCAAGTGTGACGAAGTCTCTGGCTGCGGCAAGTGGGAGCCTCCTATGAAGAAGAACCCTGCCTACAAGGGCAAATGGACCGCTCCTTTCATCGACAACCCTGCTTACAAGGGCGTCTGGGCTCCCCGCAAGATTGCCAACCCTGACTACTTCGAGGACAAGACCCCGGCCAACTTCGAGCCCATTGGCGCTGTAAGTTCCTTTACGTCCAATTTGTTGTAGTTTCTCACTAACATTGTAATAGATTGGTTTCGAGATCTGGACCATGTCCAAGGACATTCTCTTCGACAACATCTACATTGGCCACTCCATCGAGGACGCTGAGAAGTTCAAGGCTGATACATTTGACATCAAGCACCCCGCTGAGAAGGCAGAGGAGGAAGCCACCAAGCCCAAGTCTGAGGATAAGCCCAAGTCACCCTCTGACCTCGTCTTCCAGGATGACCCGGTTCTCTATGTCAAGGAGAAGCTCAACCTCTTTGTTGAGATTGCCAAGCGTGATCCCGTCGAGGCCATCAAGTTTGTTCCCGAGGTTGCTGGCGGTATCGGCGTTCTCGCTGTCACCATCATTGCCATCCTCGCCACCGCTCTTCTCGGATCCGGTGGTGCTCCCTCAGCAGAGCAGGTCAAGGCTCAGGCAAAGAAGGCCAAGGACGCTGCCGGAAAGGCCAAGGACAAGGCTGCCGAGGCTGTCGCTACTGGATCTGAGAAGGCTCAGGCCGAGGTGAACAAGCGTAACACGCGAGCAAATGCCTCATAAATTAGTAGATAATGGTGTTGTTGCAAAAGGCGCGTCTATTTGATAGAGTGCGGGGTGTGGAAAACATAAATGCCTCGCAAATGCGAATTGGTCTGGGAGGATTGGCCCGACCCGGCATGAAGGCTTTTTTTCAGAACTGTGGTTATATAACATTTTGAGTTCTATGGCGTTATTGCTACCGTATCGTGATCTACATAATACTAGGCAAATGAAGTATGCAATTTCTGAAGAAACAATACACATTAAATGATGCAAGCAACGTGATTGAGACCGAAATGTGGTCGTACGAGGTACAGACGTGGTGTTGAGGGTGTGTAGTAGCAGTGTACGACGTCGTAGACGCCGCAGACCACACAGACGCGGTAGACGCCGCGGAGGTGAGGATAAGCCTTGGATAGCCAGGGCTACCTCGGGAGTGGACTGCGGGGCCCCTTCTCCAGAGCTCCGACGGTTGGTTACAAACGGTAGCCCGGAACAAGTTTCCCTTAATAGGTAGAAGTGCTTTTTGGATAACACGTGGACTTGTCCTCTCTGATAATATAGTTCAATTCGCCTTGTGAACTGCGTCGCAGGACTTTCTCGGTTTCTTCTCGAGTCGGTCTTGAACTCTCGCATCGCATTCCCCCACACTCGACCCGGCAACTGCCCTAGAGCAATATGGCCTCCCGCCGAGCGCTGGCCCGCCTCCCGACGCTGACCGCCCGTTCGTCCTTGGTTCGAGCAACTCCTCTATTCACCAGAATGTCGACTCCCATCAATCAAAGCAAGGTTGCTGCTCGGCGGCTGCATGCCACAGCTCAGCACCTGAAGCCAGCATCGTCTGCAGCGGCCGAGTCGTACCCCATGAACCACGAGCCAATCCAATCGCCGGCAGACACACAGAACTTTATCGACAACCAGTTTGTCGCCTCCAAGGCTACACAATGGATTGATCTGCATGACCCAGCGACCAACAACCTGGTGACACGGGTTCCGCAAAGCACGGATGAGGAGCTCAAGGCGGCCGTGGACAGCGCCGAGAAGGCCTTCAAGCCATGGAAGGAGACGAGCTTGCTTCACAGACAGCAAATCTTGTTCAAGTACACACACTTGATCCGCGAAAACTGGGACAGGCTGGCAGCCAGCATCACACTCGAACAGGGCAAGACGTTTGCGGATGCCCGAGGTGATGTGCTTCGCGGCCTGCAGGTGGCGGAGACGGCGTGCGGTATCACAACTCAGATGACGGGCGAAGTGCTCGAGGTCGCCAAGGACATGGAGACACGCAGCTACAGGGAGCCACTGGGTGTTGTGGCTGCCATTTGCCCTTTCAGTGAGTACAAGACTTGAGGTGCAACGCAAGGATATTGCTAATGTAGTTGGCAAGACTTTCCTGCCATGATTCCGCTCTGGACTATTCCCATCGCCGCTGTGACGGGTAACACTGTTGTTATTAAGCCCTCGGAACGTGACCCCGGTGCGTGTATGATTCTGGCCGAACTTGCCGAGAAGGCTGGTTTCCCTCCTGGTGTCATCAACATTATTCACGGTTCGGCCAAGACTGTCGACTTCATCATCGACGAGCCACGCATCAAGGCCATCAGCTTTGTAGGAAGCAACAAGGCCGGAGAATACATTTACGCACGTGCATCTGCCCAGGGCAAACGTGTACAGGCCAACTTGGGCGCCAAGAACCACGCTGCTGTGCTTCCCGACTGCAACAAGAACCATGCACTCAATGCCATTGCCGGTGCTGCCTTCGGAGCCGCCGGGCAGCGATGCATGGCTCTGAGTACCTTGGTCATGATTGGTGAGACAAAGGACTGGGTTCCTGAGATTGCTGAGCGCGCAAAGGACCTTTCCATGAACGGTGGTTTCGAAGACGGCGCCGATCTTGGGCCGGTCATCAGCCCAGAGTCTAAGAAGAGAATCGAAGACCTGATTGCCAGCGCCGAGGAGGAGGGCGCGACTATTCTCCTTGACGGGCGTGGCCAAAAGCCCCCGTCTGAGAAGTATGCCAATGGCAACTGGGTAAGTAGTGGTGGCGTATGGATGTGTAACATGAGACTAATTGAAGTCATAGGTCGGCCCTACCATTATCGCCAACGTCAAGCCCCACATGAAGTGCTACAAGGAGGAAATCTTTGGACCAGTGCTTGTGTGCCTGAACGTCGAGACGATTGACGAGGCCATTGACATGATTAACGCAAACGAGTACGGAAACGGTACCGCCATCTTCACCCGCTCAGGGGCAACTGCCGGTCGTTTCCAGCGCGAGATTGAGGCAGGTCAAGTTGGTATCAATGTGCCGATTCCAGTCCCTGTAAGTGTACCGGCTAGCCTGGATGAATATGAAGGGATATTAACAACAGCACAGCTCCCCATGTTCTCTTTCACCGGCAACAAGAAGTCGGTTGCAGGAGGCGGCGCCAACACATTCTACGGCAAGCCAGGTCTATTGTTCTACACACAGCAAAAGACTGTGACAAGTCTGTGGAGGAGCGAGGACGCAGTCGCGACAAAGGCGTCGGTCAACATGCCGACTCAGAGCTAAGTAAACCAATCTGACGTATTGTGTTGTTGCACGGCCTCTCTCGGAAGTGAGGTGGGCGTTTTTGATTACATGAATAAAGGACCAAGCTACAAAAAAGAAACTTTTTAACATTTAACGGCTGAAGGGGAAGTTAAAATGAACCATCGAGGCGTCAAACCTACTTTTCAAAATTTGACAAAGAAAAAAAAATAAGCTTACTTGAACGTTTGATTACTGTAATCTCTTCAAAGTTCTGACCTGTCTGCATCAAGTTACCCTTTTACTTTGCTTATACGCATGTCAGAGTCAGTGTAGAATGCCAAGCTCGACCTTTCCCCCGTTTGAAGTAAACGCCGCACGTGACTCAGCCACACCATCGGGGAAATCGGTGGGAAAAAAAGAGGGAACAGCTGAGGTCATATCACTTACAAAACGGTCTGGTCTGGACTGGACAACAAGGCAAACGGGCTAATCCGGCTCCACTCGGAACGCCCAACTTTGTTCCGGTCGGGATGCAATCCCAACGCGCGAAATCCAAATCCCCTCCCCTCCCCCCCAACTTACCCAGTAATTTGTGCATTTAGTATGCAACAATCACTCACACGCATTTGTTACATAAGTGTCCTGAGCTTTTTTTCCCTTTTCCCAAACGCACAATGGAGCGCCCATGGCGAAAGGGCGGAGCAAACAAAAAAAATGATTTATGGCAAGAGGACCACACACACACACAGTACATAACGCGTTTTGCTGGCCACGCTGCCTGCTTTTTTTAGTAGCCCTTTAAAAGTACACACATAGTGTACTACCTTGGTGTACGGCTACGCAAAATCGCCGATTTGCAACGGGAACCACCCCCCCAGATGTCATCATTACAGTGGTTATGTTAGTCTGTGTGTAGAATACACGTTGCAGAGCCACACACGCACACGAGTGTTTTTCTGCGTGCGTGTTTGTGTGGGAGGGGGGGGGGTTTGTAAAATAAGTGTAGTGGATTGAACGCGGGGAGGCGAATGCCAGCTTGTTCAAGAGTCGACCAGGCCACGCGCTAAATGGCTGAGTATGCGGGTGTTTTTTTCTTGATTTTGGGGGAGAAGGGAGGGATTGCGTGGGTAGCGCCGGAGAGGGAGAGGGTGAGGGTTAGGGGAGGGGGGGTTTGAAAGCAGAAGAGGGGGAAAGCTAGATTACTGACAGGGTGGAAGAGAGAGGGGAGGGAGGAGAGAGTATTATGCAAGTGCTGATGCAGAGGGTTGTGTGTTCTGGGGCGTTTGCAGGGTAGCTTGCGTGTGTAGTGTACCATTTGGGGACTTGTTTTTTTTGTTGCTGGCGGGCTGGGACTGGGGTAAGGGCTTGGCACTTCGGCTGTGTTTGCCTGGCCTTTGGTGATGGAGGGAGGGGTGGCGGGTTTAATTGATGGCTGTGTTGGACTGGCAATCGAGGCAATGATAGAAAGGGAATTTCTTCCGGGGGCTTTTTCTCCCTTTCATCGTTTATTGATGCAAAATAGAGTGGCGGAGGGAGACGGAGGCTACGGAGGCTGGGCAGGTTTTTGATGATGATGATGATGGCAAACGCAGCAAGGTCAGATCATTGTGGCTGGGACCGGCGCGCGGGTAGTCAGACCCCATCTGGCAGACGGACTATCGATGCTGTCTAAATTTGTGCAGTCTATGTACATACTATCGGGCGATTCCCACATGTGGCCGCGGGGGATCGGGTTTCGTTGGCGTGACAGATGGTGTGGATCGATGGCCATGCTAAGAGGATATGTATGCACTCATTCTTTCGTCGCTTCGTCAGTCGATATCTGAGTGAATAAGGAGGAGGGTGTGAAGATAAGACGGTAAGCCCACGGCGCAATAAAAAAACGCCCATCTGCCGACTGTCCGTTTGCATCTGTCCGCTGTCTTTGCTTGGCCCAGGTCCGAAGCAAGCTCCGCGCCAGGGCTTTGCTCTCTGCGTTTCAGAAAGTGGATCGGCTGTAGACGTAGATCGTCTTAGACTCCAATCGGGATAGCTGGGCGGCGCCGTTGATGACGAGTCGTCGTGGGTAAGTCGCAGGGCCGGAATGGCGAGGCCTCTACGTACCGCGCGTCGTATTCGTAGCTTACTTTACCTGACCTGACCTATGCCACAAAACCACAAGTACTATCTATTGTCCCGGCCACCCACCTTCATCTCGCTCTTCGCCCGCTACCGTCTCTCTTACATTCCTCGTGTGCTCTTGCGACGCCCATTGTCATAGCCATAGCCCCGTCCTACTCGCCTTATCACTTAACCCACTACCCACACTACCCACATCTTGTCGCGCTGGGATCACTTTCGCGTGCGTCCACACACCCGCCGCCCACTCACAGACCTGGTCCGCCATACCCGTCCGCCGCCAGCCTTCTTGGAGGAAAGTGTAATCGTCTTCCTAAAAACAGGGAAAGCGAAAAAGGAAAGACAAAGTAAAAGAAAAAACCGGGTAACTGAAGCGCGCGCTCCCCCCTTACCGAACCTGACTCCGCTTTTACAATGGAGAACCCGACTCAGAAACCGCGCCAGCGAGGCCTCAGCTTCCACAGCAACAAAAGTCGCGACCCGCCCGCGCCAAAGAGCCCAAAGAGTCCAAAGAGTCCTTCCTCCAAGCACGAGCGCAAGTTCAGCGAACACCTTGACCCCAATTCAAAGGCGGATCCAAACAACGCTATGAACGAGCTACAGCCTAGTATGTCTGCTGCCCTTTCTGCGGTCCTGCACCGTTATGCCCTGCCTGGCCCTGCTTTTGTTGAGCGCTCGACATGGCCTTTGCTGACCGCTGTACCCAGTTGCCGCTGCGCTCGAGAAGCCCACCCTCCAGTCTCTACGCTCATTCCAGCATACCGATTCCTCCGGTAACCCAATTGGTATGTTGTTCTTTTTATTCTTTTGCTGGCCCCATTGCTATTGCGCTTTGAGCATCACAATCTAACAAAACGGCCTACAGTCGATCCTGATCTCTCCAACCCCACTCGTTCTAGATGGGAGCGCCCGCTCGACACGATCCGCTCTTTCGAAGCCGCCATTGATGGCGAATACAGGCGTCGGTCGCAGTCTATGCGCGTCGACAACACGGACCATGGCAGCCGACGGAGTAGCTACTATGGCGGAGGCTACAATGACCAGAACCGCCACTCCAATGCCAGCTACTTTCCCCAGAGACAATATGGTCGCGATAGCTATGCGGACGGTCATGGCTATGGCGGACCTGTTGGCGGAGGACCACCACCCCCACGGATGCGGTACGGGAACCGGATGCAGTCGGACCCGGGATGGACCAACAGGCAGAGCATGCAGGGTGTCTATCCCATGAACGGATACCAAAAGTCCCGCGACACGGTACATACCAACGGCTCCAACGGTAGTCATAGCGACGGTCCCTACTCCAACGACCCCAGCAGCGAAAACAGCTCCATCGAGCGCGGCGTACCTGTCCAGCCACCCCAGCAAGATTTGTCATCACAATACGCCTTTATCAATAACTTTGGCAGAGGACCTATTCTCGAGGAGTTTGGCGATCGCCCCGGTCAATCCTACCAGGCAGCACCGCCTCCGCCCCAGCACAACGGCATGTATTCAAACGGCTCACCCCCGCAACCCCCGAAACACGCCATGCAACCTGCACCCGCGCCCATCAAATTGGATAGCGGCAGCGCCCCAGCCGCCGAGCAGCCACGGCCCAAGATGCTATCCAAGAACAGCAGCAATGCAGGTGAAAAGCGCAAGAGCTGGCTTAAGAAGCGGTTCAGCAAGGATTAAATAGCCGGACCGACGGCTGATTTAAGCGCCTCTCTGTTGAAAGGATTTGATATACCCCGGGATGTGAATTGCTATAAGAAGCAGGTGTCAGAAGTGGCACCTGTCTTGTGTATGTGCCACACGCATACAAACCAAACCATGACAATGAATTGATGAAGTCCTTTGTTTTGTTTTTTATGCTGGGAAGGAAAGGAAGAGAAATACAGAGAGCTCTTTTTGCTTCCAACATTGGAGAAAAGGGGGGTGGCCGCAGGCGGTTTTTTCCACAACTTGAGATCCGCTGGCCGCATGTCATTCCTTTTTTCTTTTTCAGTCTTGTTGTTGCTGAAAGCATCCTCTGGGCGTTTCTATATGGCGTTACTTTATTTCCTTTTAGCCGAGAGAGGGATTATCATGATGGATGGAAAGGGAAATATGGGATATACCGAGGGGTTTTTTTTTGCTTTCATCGTATTCTTTTTGGTCACTCCCTCTTTGTTATCATGTGTGTCTTTCTCCCTCTCTGTGTTTTTTTTTGCACGCATTTGCTACAGTAGATAGGACACCTAGTTTTCTAGGCTCTTTAATGTGGTAATTTTAATTGCTGTGATGAAAACGTAGTATGATCCCGCTTGGTCTTTGACTTCTGACTTTGGATGATTTCGGAGAGTTGCATGGACCTTTTTTCTAGATGAACTCTAGCGTATACCCCAAGTATTTGCCCCCTTCCCTCCTCCGACATGCTGACTTTGATTTGCCTTGTCGATTCTTTTCTGGAGTATTTTCAAGATAACTACGTTTGCTCGTACTGTAGTTCCCTACGCGCTCTCCTCTCTCCCCCTTCTATCGAATCATATTAAAAGCAGGCGATTCCAAGAACTAACTCCCAATACATCCCCTGCTCACACTCCCCGCTCAAGCCCCCATAATCCTATCCTTCTTACTCCTCGCCTTAGCCTCCTCCCGACTAGCCGCCTGCTGCTGCTGCTCTGCCTGCTGCTGCTGCTGCTTGGCCTCGTACAACTTGCGCTGCCGCACCGCTTCCCACTGCTCAATGTCGTTTTGCGTAAGTGTGATTGTGGTGGGGGCGCGACGGAGCATGGTTTGGTTTTGGTGAAGTAAAAAGTCAAGATGGATGTTTGTGTTTGGGATGTGATTGAGGGATGGCGCGGTGTGAGGTTTGGCTGGGCGGAGGGTTGGGATTGGATGGCGGTGAGAGTGGTGGGTTGGAAAGTAATGTTTACGATTAACGAATGAGAGGGTTGTATGAGGAGTGTGGAGATGAGATGAGTGTCTTTGTAGTGAATGTATAGTGTAAACGCCAAGTCACATGCAGTGAAGCACAGAGCACGTGGTGCGGAGCCGTTTAACTTGGGAGCAAGGATCCCTGCTTCTGCCAAGACTTCGCGATCGGAAAGTTTGGAGTTGAGCATTGCAACCGCACAATCGATTGCTATCCATTCCGGCATGGCTCAACGACAAATGTACGCTTCAATGGGTGCGCTACGGCGCTCATTGGGAGCAGATGTAGCGTCGGTACAAGCTTGCTCATCGAGAGCATTGCACAGCTCGGCGAGGAGGCTGGAAGAGGAACCCAGCGATGCGTCGCCGGCCCAGCGTACGTCTTCAATCTTTCAATTGCATGCCCCAGAACCGCTGTATTGACACAAAATGCAGCGCAAAACTCCCGCAGAGTACGCTCAGCCACTGCCCTCAAGCAAATCGCCTCGCTGCAATACCGCCGCCAGCCCGGCGCACTCGCACGAGGTTCCTTCCCCAGCGGCCAAATGCTACGACGAGCCCCCCGCTCGCCCACCCCTCAAGCCAACGAATACGGCTTCATCCCCGAAGACGCTGCTCCAACCGACACCCAGCAAGACGCCAGCGCCCGCGCTGCCCGCAACACAGCAGGCCCAAGGACAACCCGCGGCTCGGCCCCTCCACCAGGCCAAATGGTCCGCGCCCCCTCCACACTGCGTATGAGCCGCTCAACACCAGGCGGCGCCACTCGCGGTCCCAATCTACGTGGTCGCGACGCCCGCAGACCAGCCGCCGGCGGCAAACGCAGCACAGCGGGGAACAACCGCGGCGAAGCGGGGCCCAGGCGTCGAGAAAAGACGTCGGGCGGCGACGAGACTATGAGCACGAAACTCGCGGATGTAGAACTCGGTGATACCATTTCAGATGCTATGACGCAGCAGTTACTTCGCCTGCAGCGTAAAGAGTGGGATCGTGTTCCGTATGAGCCCAAGTACGCGAAAGGAAGCTTTGCGGCGAATGAATTGATACATGCAGGGAGAGAGCTGTTCAAGGGCGAGAGTCCGCCGGTCAAGATTTGGGGGCCGCTTGAGAAGCGGATTGGGGTTGTTGGCATGTTTGGTGCTGAGGCGCATTTGAAGGTAAGGCGGGTGTTGGATGGAGATGCTGAGCCGTTTGGTCAGGAAGTCATTGAGGAGGCTGAGCCGGTGGAGGTCAAGGGCGTGGAAAAGAAGGAGGAGGTGGTTGTACAATAGAGAGGGCCGGGTTGTGTGGATGATACTTGTATGATCTAGAGGCAATCAAGCATGAGTATGAAAGGAACATGTCATGGCCAGTCGTGCCTACTTCATGGATTTTATACGTAATATAGTCTATGGCTGTACTACGAATCATCTTCCAAATCTACCTGTTCAAACAGGAAATGTATTCCTATCCAGCCTACTTCGATGCCCAGACAACCTTGTACTTGAACTGCGTCGGGAAACTCTTGTCTGTAATCAGCAACTCCTCGCCCTCCTCGACCAAATCAACCATCTTCTTCTCCAAGTTCGGTCGTGTCTGTTCCTCCAGACCCGCAAGCTGCATGTAGAGCGACTTTTCACCTGTGCGAATCGAGGGTTTCTTGAGTTGCCTACATTATGTTGTCAGTACAAAACTCCCGTGTAATGATAACGACAGTGCTACGTACGCTTCTGGACGTTCTGCCAACCCGTCAATGAACTCTTGCAGCGTGATACCAGGGAGGACCTGGAGGGGCCGCGCAATGTTTCCAGCACCGCACACAGGACAATCATCCTTCTTCTGGTGCTCAAACGTATATGTATATACAGAGTCGTCTCCTGTATACATCATGTAATTGTCCATGCCGGGGTATCCCAGGAAAGGGTTGCTGTTGGTTGCTACCTTGAATGCCTCGTTGCAGCAGCTCGCTGCTACAATAGCGTTTGTACTAGCAATTGCTGGGATGATGTTCTTGACGACCCCTTGGGTCATGCTGTATGTTACTCCATCAATGTTGAATTCCTTGGCGCGGGCAGTGGCTTTGTTGAAGAGCCAGGTGATGTGCTCTGGATCATCGGTATCGAGGGTAATATCTTTACGCTCCTCTTCCCATGCGATAATATGTGCCCATTCGATGCAATGTTGCGGCTGCCGGGGAATGGTGGCGAGTGTACAGAGAGGTACTGCGGCGCGGGGCGCGTGCATGTCTAGTTGGCATTCAATGCACGAGGTCATGGTGGGGAAAATGACACGTGCTTGGCCTTTGAAGCCCTCTGTACCGCCATCGATCAATGGCTTCATAGAATCCGGGTCGTTCTCGTCTACCATGCCCACGAGCGTGGCGTTGATCCAACGCCTTGCCTCAATGGAGTCTAGGCCGCAAACGATGAGGCCGAATTGCATGTAGTACGCTTCATCCTTGTCTTGGATCTTGCCGCAGTACGGAGTGATTTTGACACCCTTGACACGCTTTTCTACAAATGCGGCGGCGGTTTCCGCTTTATACTTTCCTACATCTGAAGCCCGGAAGAGGAACTGCCGATTTAGGTTGCTGACGTCAATTGTATCCATGTCGATTACATGGATATCCTTGAAGCCTGAGAGGGCAAGGTTCTTGAGAATCTCGCACCCTAGACCGCCAGCTCCGCTGCATCTTGTCAGGAAATATGCTGGATGGAAGGGACGGTTTCCGTTTGGCTTGATGATAGACTCACATGACTCTGCATGGGATTAGCTAACATTTCGTGTAGTTACAAACACAACATGCTTACAGAACTTTGAGATTGCTCAGGTACTCAATGACTTGTTCACCGGCCATGAAGCTATCCTCATCCGTAAAAGGTCCCTTGCGAGTCAAGAACCTATCGAGGTACTTCCTATCGCGTGATGTCAGTGCTGAGCTTGGTGTATTCGGCTTTCTGTAGCTTACCATCGGGCCCGTGGGTTAGCTGTTGATGCAGCCCCCATATCGTTGACGTTAACAGCCATGGTCAGTAAATGTGTAGAAGGTTGATGTAAGATTAGTCTAGCAAAGCAAGGAGTAGGTGTAGGCATCAGAGTGTAGATGGTCCGCCAAGACGCTAACATGCGGGTCTGCGCATGGGAAGGAATTGCCGATTGGGCACAGTACACTACGCATCTCCCGCTACGCAACATTGCAGAGGATTAGTAAAGTCACGACTCTTGACACACTCATTTGACCTTTTGCTTGGATGACTCGGATACAATGGCTGATTTCTTGACGGCGGTCTCTACCAGCAAAATCAACCGTAACGAGCCTCTTATCCAAGAGGTTAGGAGCCTACATGCACAAGAAGATGCAGTGACCATTGACTCTGCAGAATCAGCACTGAAAGCGTTGAAAAATCAGCCGAGTCGGACAACGGTAAGCAATGTTCTGGATTACCTCACTACAGAGGGATTTAGCCTCTTACTCCCGGACCCACTCAATGCAAGCATCGCACATCAGCTTGTCAACGATACCATTCCCAACTATTGGAGATCAATCAAAGGACAAAAAGAAGCAAAGAAGATTGGGAAAATCCTTCGAAATCCAACGAGTCTGGGACATGTTATCACAAGACTACGGTCACTCATCGCGGATAGTCGTCAGAAAAAGAAACCTGGAGAAGAGCGGAATACAGCCGAACACATCTCAGATGCGCTAGAAGTTTTGGATCTAATACTATGTGACAATGAGACGTCATTTCTCATATTGCAAGACGTTTTGCTATTCGGCAAGAACGCCATACAAAAGAAGCTGATATGGAAAGAGTATCTTGCCCAAGTAGTATCGGGACGTCTACTGTCGATTGCAGCTGAGGCTGAGGATGTTCTGAAGAAAGACAAAGATACTTCGAGAGTCTCCAGCTGGCTTCCAGAAGGCAAGGGGTATGCAGAATGGCTAGGTCGCAACATAGCTGTCCTGCTAGAGCGCGGTTCTGAGAGCGATGACCATCTCACCGCTGCCACAGAATTCTGCTCCAAGGCCTTGGGATTAGGCTACACGGGTAAGTTGTTTCATCAAATTTTTGAACGGTGCTGACTAGTCAGATCAAATCGTGAGCTCCCTACTTCGGAAGGTAATTAACGATGGTGCCATTGAGCACCTCGTGCGTTTATTGTCGCACATGAAAACATTTGAACAACGAAAATACATGAATGCAATCATCACGTTTGTGGCTAAGCATTATTTCTCAAACGAGGTCGTCAATAAAGACTCGCTGGTTGCATCATCTCCTGTTATAGACGCTGCTGGTGGTTTGTTCCATGACCTAATCAAAGATAACGATGTGCTCAAAGAACATCTTATCTCCACACTTACAAGATCAACAATACCCGTACTAGATGATTCGCTATCAGTTCGGCGAAGTGTCGTAGCTGCTTTGGCGAAAGACCATGGTAAGCAATGCCGGAATTTAGGCACATCAACATTACTGACAGCCATAGACAAGTTACACACACTTTTGGAAAGCCTCATCAAACTCTTTGGAGATTCAGTCTATATCAGATATACACCAGTATTGCAACAAGAAGGCAAGTAGCGATTTGACTTTACGAAGAATCTCTCTAACAAAACACAGCTCTTGCTCAAACTTTGGCGCTATGCAGTGGCTATGTGAAGCGTTCAGAACCTATGTTTCTCACCATGATGGCAAAATCGTCCCATCATGTCAACGGAATGTCGAACCGAATCGGCGCAGCGTCTGCGCGAGCCCGTCTCTTAGGGATCTCTGTCGGTATTGCCATCTCCAAGATGGTAGATAAGCCTGAATTGCAACTGAAAATTGAACTGGAGGGTGCAGAAGCTGAAGAAGCAAGCTGGTACGAGCGGCTCACCAACATTGACGACAAAGTTGGGAATGCTACAGATCTCAAAACCCAGCAGAGCAGCACAGTCTCAGTGAAGAAGACGCAGCCGAAACCGAAATCACTTCCCAAGAGCTCAAAATCTCCAGCGATAACCGAAATACAGGGACCGCGAGTCATTGAAGTCATGTTAGATTCAGAAGACGAAGATGCAGATCTGATGATGTACGATAAACCAGATTCTGACCCGGAGGACGACACAGATGACCCTACAGCCATCAACCGCAATAAACCCACAGCACCTGTCTACATCCGGGATCTCATCGCTGGCCTTCGCGACCAAGAAAATTATGATCGGCACGAGCTTGCTTTAGCCACGGCTGCTTCCCTGATTCGTCGTAAAGCAAATTTTGGAACTGAAGTGACCGATCACCTAGAGGAACTTGCAACAATACTTACAAGTCTGCAAGACAACTCGGAGCTAGAAGAGTTTGCGCAACAAAGACAGCAAGCCCTAATTGCTGTCCTGCTTGCAAAACCGGCGCAGATGGCGCAGTGGTTCGCGCGATCTTTCTTCTCTGGCGACTACAGTCTGCAACAACGCATAGCTATGCTCACGACCCTCGGTATTGGAGCACGCGAGCTGGCAGGAATGAAAGACACTTCGACCGATGACATGGTACCCGCAAAACCAGACTTTCCTAGCAAGCAGCTTCCGCCACATCTGCATGGTATCTACGCAGAGGACAAAAATGAGCCATCAGTGGCGAAGATATCAAGTCATATGGCACGTGAAATGCTTTCCCCAATTGCATCACAAGCAGCCGACCAACTTAGCGGGCCGAACATCCTCAAAGTGCGGACCTTTTCTTCGCGCATGGAAGTAGAGAAGAAGCGACATAAGCCGATTCCAAATGCTCTGGCCCAAATTGTTGCGGATAACTTCTTCTTCCCTCTTACTGGACGCTGGTGGCTTCAGGTTCGTGCCAATAACGACTCTATCTACACTTCCACCCACCTCCTCCCACCATTCCTCCAAACCCTTTCTATACTCCTCAATGCATCAGGCCCGAATACCCTTGCACTACCTCAGATGACACGCGAGTACTGGGATCTCTTGCTCTCGGTGCGAGGTTTGGCCAATAAAGACAAGAACATACTCAATGCCGTTTTGTTCGGTTTCCTGATGTTATTGGAAACAAATGAGAATAAAGAGCGACTTGCTACTGAGCAAGGCAAAGAGCTTATGGAGACACAGGCTTGGGTCAAGATGGTTTTCGATAGCTTGGGCGCTGGGAGTGAGGAGGATGAGAAGGTGAGAGTACTTGCGGCGGGTGTGGTGGTTAGGTGTCAAGAGGTCGTTGAGAAGTACCAGAGAAGGATGGCGGGTATTTTGATGGACTACTAGTCATGTTTTATTTCATTAATTTGCTAAAGAAGGGTACTTGGATGAGGGGCATTACGCATATGCACGGGTCACGTGGCATGATAGTTCGGATGAACGTCCGTACGACAAAGCTAAGTTTTTCAGAGAATACTAATCAGAAGTTGAATTCAGCATATGCAAATATGAGAACTATCGAATAAACTCGCCACATTGTATGCCACTTTTGGAAAGAGAGGTGGTAAAAATAAAGCCGCGCGGCTCGCCAAACTCAAGACTTTAAGCGCCGCGATACTACTCAGAGTGTGCAGCGCACAGGCTCGCCGATCCTGCCACATAGGATTTTGTGGAGGATATCAAATGCAATCAATAACTGTACGACAACGGAGGGATATGTAACTACTCGCCATTTGTCCTGCTATGAGGTCGCAATCGAATTAAAACACTCAAATATGCTTTGTGAAGTATGCACTGGTGCACTTAGCCAGCACAAAAGAGAAGACAGGACTTCTCGTTTCGGATATCTATTTAGTCATCATAGGTCTACAAAGACACTTCAACAATGGGATACGCATTGTCTAATATGTACCAAATTGGCCAAGACACTGGGTCCAATTACAGATTTCTCTCAAGATGAGCTTCTATACATCCTAATGGTACTATAAGGAAGTATCCTATAGCGAGAAGACCGGTAGAGGAAATTTTCAGGCTGGATGTTCACTTCGGATATGACCGCGAATGTAATTTCTTTTTGGCAGAAACAGGTATATGAGTACCTGGAAACACACACAAAACTATCTGACAATGATAGATCACAGAGATCACACTATGCTCAATAGTCAAAATCTGAGTGGTCTCACCAAAACAGCGCAGACTTGGATGAATAGTTGTAAATGTGCAAGTTTTTGGGAAGAGCCCGGTGCAAAATGGTACCCTCGCCGTCTACTGGATTTGCAGGAGCTTCGCGCCAGCCCTGATCCACACCAGACAAGAATACGCCTGATTGAGTCTAGGAACTTTATTATTGGGGAAGAGACATGTAGTATGTCTGGTTTTCTTCCATCTAAGCATCAAAATGATCGTTACGTCACACTGAGCCATTGTTGGGGCAACCCAAAACTTGGTTCGCTACCACCGCTGAGCATGACTTTTAAAAACGAAAAGCGCTTCAAAACTGAGGGTATCATAGTGAAGGAGCTGCCCAAGACATTTCGAGATGCCATCGTATTCGCCGCTGGACTAGACAAGGTCGGCTTCATATGGATCGACTCGCTTTGTATCCGACAACCTATCAAAGGGGATGGTGAAAATGAGGAGGACCAGCTACAAGACTGGTTCGAACAAACTCGTCATATGGGAAATTTGTACCGGAAGGCTTTTCTGAACATATCTGCTACTGCTGCATACGATGTAAAAGGAGGTTTGTTTTTCGAACCCTGCCCAGAACTTCTCCGGGAAAACAATATTGATGTGTATTATCCGGAAGACCCCGATACTACACTGGAAAACGGTGTTGAAAAGACGAATCCCTACGCAAGATGCTCTTTGATCGATCCATCAGCTTGGGACGACCTCGTCGAGAATGCTCCAGTTAATCAACGAGCCTGGGTCTTCCAGGAGCGATTGTTAGCACCACGTGTACTCCACTTTGGATACAACCAGCTCGCCTGGGAATGTCACAAGTTCAACAGCAGCGAAAGTTACTCCTGGAGTGAGTTAGCAATGAAACCATCCAGTACCCCCGGTTTTACCGACAGAAGTTGCCTGAAGCACCTCACAGTCTCTGCGGGGCGCTCATTCCGCGAAGCAAGAATAGGCGACTTTCGAGATTGCGACACGCAAATCAAAGACATATACATTTACGGATTGTGGAAGAAAATAGTGGAAAGCTATTCAAGAATAAAACTCACAGAGCACAATGACAAACTTACTGCATTGGGCGGCATAGCAAAACTTTTCCATGACGAACTATTCAGCCCAGACCACAGCCAGACATATGTCGCCGGACTATGGAGTGGCCACATCGAAAGTCAACTACTATGGACCGTAAACGCAGTCTACCGCGGCAACAGCACATATGAAAACTTAGGGCAACTCGGAAAGCGGACCCTCATGGTCTTGGGCCTCCATCACCACTCCACATGGGATAGCCTACAACGACATCACAGACTACGCCTCGCCGGACGACCGATGCACCAAGTCTCTCTTCTTCAAAGCCATATCCCACACCCTCTCTCCCGCCGACCCAAACAACCCCTTCGGCATGCTAACATCCGCTCATATACTCCTCGCTCCCGACCACCTTCACGCCATCAATCTCATACAGCACCCCAACGGCAGCCCCATACCCTGTATGTGGCACCTAAAATCCAACTCAGAATCCAGATCTCAGCACCACATACACAGCATCCATCTCAATGCCTCAACTTCCGACACCGACATCTTTGATCAGGACGCCCAGCTATATTGCATGTCAGCTGCATATATAACGAGCACAATACAAAGTGCAGTTCAGGAATTGTACATCTTGGTGCTCAAGTATGAAGACACTGTAGCATTTGAGTCGAGTGAGCCGGGAAAGGAAAAAGTAGAGTATAGGGCGTTTCGTCGTGTGGGTATTACGAATGTAGCGAAATTTTACGATCAAGAACAGGAAATGTTAAGGGAGGGGGAAACGCAAGAGGTTATTTGTTTTTGTTGAACAATTTCTAGTATATAGTAGAGTTCATATCTTGTTTTTTCTTCGTTTTTACAGAAAGATTATCACGAGATGATATCTGAATTTGATTTCGGCATTTCGATATCCCCATGCGCTATCAGCCGCCACGCTGGTGACTCTCTTACCCCACTTCAACTTGGTACTGTATCACCACTATGTGAATACTTTTCAGCATTTGATACCATCGGCTCTCGATACTACTTCCCTTTTTACGATTTGCCCAGTAAAAATCCGCATAAATGGCAACTAATTTCACATCATCTCAACGATTACCTAATACCGGGCGCTTGGTCTAGGGGTATGATTTTCGCTTCGCATATTCCATGCGTACTTGTGAAAGGTCGTGGGTTCAATTCCCACAGCGTCCACATTTTGCACCTTCTTTTTACTATTCCAACCGTTCCCACCCGAAAGCACTCTCCAAACCCATGTTTTTGATAGCATAGTGGATTCAGCTAGAAATTAGCTTCACAACGGATGAGAAATCATACAGCATAGATTACACATGTCCCATCTGTCGAAGACCACATGGGTATAAAGATAATAATAATTCTGCTTGATCCCCACTTCCCTTCATAACTCTTCCCCTTCTCGCGAGATTGTAACATGCGCCCCCCCTTCCCTACCACCATGACAACCATCATCACGTTTGAGATAAAACGAGGTCGTTTCCTTATCATGGGACTCATAATATCCATGTGACTTCTGGGGCAAAAGCAATCGAAGCAGGTATTGGTAGACGGATAGAGAGTGATTGTGGGTACAGCAAGTCGTTTTTTTATGTAGGCGTGGTGAAAGGTTCAAGTAGTAATTGGAGGTAGCAGAATGAGGTAAGGGAGTGGGGTGGAGGTGCTTGTTTTGTTGGATGACTTTCGACGGGTATCATTGCGTCGACTTATAAGATGTTAGTTTTCGTTGTGTTACTATGTTGCATCTAACCCCTTATAATAGCGTGCAGTTATTTCAACCTTTAACCCCAAGAGTAGGACAATGAGAGCACGAGTATTGCTGTTTTGCAACGGTTGAAGAAGCAAGGTGGGAAAACGAGGGGGGGTGCAATCAAGGTGAACACGGTGGGTTGGAGGAAGTATATAGCAGATCACGAAAAGGATACATTGCTGTTACTATTGAAGAAGAAAGAAAAAGTATCTACAGAGAAGATATCATCGGGGTATACATATGTACTCCATAACCCCAGTCATAAAACAAAAGTCAACAACCAGTGTTGACCTTATCCCCCAAATCACATCTTACGCGGCCAATTCCCGTGTTTCCCTCACAGATGCATGGCTCTAGAACTTTGCGTGGTGCCTGGTGATTCTCTGTCTGTGCTCCCTGAGGAACCTGGCCATGCGCGCGTTTCGTGCAGCAGGAGGGGCAGCAGCGGGGGCAGGTGTTTCAGTGGGACTAGCAGTTACAGTAGCGTAAACGGTTTCATAGACGGTGTAGACGGCTTGAACAGTGTCTGTGACAACGGGAACGACTGGGGCAGCTACGGGCGCAATGGCTGGACTAGTCGGGGCTGGTGCGGGTACTGGCGCTTCGGGAGCGGCTGCAGGACTTGAGAGTTGAGGGCTGCCTTGTGTGGAGCTGGGGACAGTGGCGGCCTCACTGGAGTTTTGAGTTGGTGTGCCAGTGTTTTGAGGAGGTGAGACTGCAGGTGCCGATGTTGTTGTAGTGTCATTGTCGTTGGAACCACCAGCACCTACAGGCCATTGGAAACCAGGCATGCCACCTGCGCCCGTCGGTGCTGGGCCTGGAGCTGGCGCTGCGATCTGGGTTGGTGGTGCAACAGGCTTTTCGCCGTCTGCGATTTCGGAAGCGGTAGGGCTCTCGACTGGAGGGCTTGGAGCACTGGGAGCACTGGGAGCGCTAGGGGCCCCATAGGCGGGAGGGGTTGCAATTGGGGCAGAGGCTGGGGTGGAGACAGTCTCGCTGGTGGGAATTGGCACGGCAATACTGGATACAGATGGCTTGATGGCCGAAGTCGGTATGACAGGAGAGCCAGTTGGCCCAGCAAGTGCAGAAGACACGGCCGCTGTCTCGGTTGGGACAGGTTCTGGCAGATAAGCAGCGCTACTCTGCTGAGGGGCTGATGAAGGCACTGGAGCAGGAGCCTCGCCATTGTCTTGGTAGACCTTCAAGGCATTGACTGTCCAGTACGCTTCTGCGAAAGCCTCGGGGTTGTTCTGTACCCACTCCTCGCATGTAGCAGCCTTCTTTGAGCAGGAGCTGGCTCCCCAGACACTGCTGCTGCCAGCCCATACACCACAAAAGGTGGTGTCAAAGACGATTTGTTGCTGCTTGAACGTGCTCTCAATGTCACAACCACCTTCAAACTTGGCGGACGGCTTTCCCCATCCGCTGGGGTCTGGGTTGTCACCAAGAACATCCTCCGGAACAGAGCCGCGAGGGAAGAAGAAGACACTGATGGCATCAGACGTCCACTGAGTTGCGTAGACTCCTCCACCGTTCGCATTCAAGCCTGCACCGTAGCTCTTGGTCGATCGGTCTGCGATGGAGCATCCTGCGTTGTCCATTTGACCTTTTGCCTTGACATCGCAGTTCTTTGTGGTTACATTGCCGGCAAACTGGGTGGTGTCGGAACCAATCGTGCAGCCAGGACCTGTGTGAAGAGTCATGGAGTTGCTCACTTGGTCGTTGACACCTTCAATGATGTCAATCTCGCCGTTTTTGGGCCAATTGGGTCCGGTTGTCCAGAATCTGTCAATGTTGAGCATCTTGTCCTCAAAAGAATAATACTTGGGTATACTCACGCTGGCCATGTGCCACAGCCAAAGGGCATGTGAGCGACATCAACAACAATCAAACCACTGTCGTACTTCTTCTTGCTTTCTATGCGAATACTAGGCCTTCCCTCTGGGCACTCGTTCTCGTGATCTACGCCCCAGGATGCTCCAGTAGTGACAGACGCGTTGATGAGATTAGTCTGCCTTGCCGTGTCCTCATCAACATACTTGACGAAGCCCTCTGTTGGGTCAGGTTGAGTGAAGAAATCAAACGACCCATAAAAGTCGGTCATGTAGTCATCCTCGAGAACATAGCCAGCTATGCTCAATTGGAAAAAGGCCGCAGCCGAAGTGAGTGTGGAGAAACGCATCGTCAAGATGGCAGGAGAAAATGAATCAAGTAAAGAATGACTGCGTACTAGACGCGTGAAGAGAAACAGACGCAAGAAGTGAATGCACGGGAGTACGGGACGGCAACCAGACGGTCGGAGAGATGCGACCTGCCCACCTATATACGGGCGCCAAATACCGATACCCTAATCACAAAAGCCACGCATTTGGCCATAAGCAGCCTCGCGGACAGACTCGATGGGCCCGGGGGAGCGTACATCTCCCGTTAGGCCACATGAGCTTGGTTTCAACGGTGGGAGATTTGCAGGTGGATCGAGCATCTCCCCCGGTTAGGCACAGTAAGGGGAGCTGCAGGAACCAGTCAGGTGCCCGGGGTGGAGGACTGGTAGCGCTGAGGCAGGCTGGTCCGATGTTTAACCAAACGTGCGCTGTTTCATGCGAAATGGACGGATGGGCTGTTGGCAAGCGAGTGGTGGCGCTTGAAACAGGTGGATGCGGTACCCCTGCGGATAGAGAGCATTGTTATCGATTGCCTGAGGCATCTCCGAAGTTGGCTGGCCATGATTCGCTGGTGTTGACCTGAAACGCGGAGTGATTGAATATAGAATACACAAGAGGAGCCGCGAGCCAGTAGCGGGCGCTCGCGCTAGCGCTTTCGAAGCGAACAAACATGTTCTGCCCCCCCTGAAACCAATCACCTCATCACAAGGGCTACGTAGGCAGGCGACGTGTAAAGTAAGTACTCGGCTATCTTGCGGTTTTTCTTCTTTCTGTAATTCGCGCTCTGGGCGGGGTATGTGTGTGTAATTAACTTTTTTTCTATTTCTTACATGACTCGTCTTCTATTAAGATCACACGTCTACTCCAGCGATTCGACAACAATGGCAGAAGCACCTCCACCTCCGTTGCAAATGCCAGCGCATCCAATCTTGCCCTTCTTTTGCCTTAGCACACCAAGCAGTGTGGTTGTGATCCTGGCACCTGAAGCACCTAGCGCGTGGCCGATCGCAACAGCACCACCGTGCAGGTTGACCTTGTCCTCTTGAATACCGAGGATCTTCATGTTGGCGAGGGCAACAACACTGAAGGCCTCGTTGATCTCGAAAGCATCAACGGCAGACAGCTCCACGCCGGCGTGCTTCAGCGCCTTTGGCATGGCAAGAGCGGGGGCCGTGGTGAACTTGGAGGGGTTCTGCTCAGCATCACCCCAGCCAAGGATCTTAGCAATGGGCTTGAGGCCGTGCTTCTTGACAGCCTCCTCGGAAGCAAGGACGAGGGCCGCGGCACCGTCAGAGAGCGGTGAGGCGTTGGCAGCAGTGACTGTGCCGTCCTTGGGCTTGAATACAGGCCTCAGTGTGCGGGTCTTGGACTCGTTGAACTAGGCAAGGGTGAGCAAGTGGTGTTTTACAGATTACTAAACACCATAGGAGTGCCATAATTACTTACGTTCTTGGGTTCGTCATCAGCATCAACAACAACTGGGGGCTTGCCACGTCCTTGGGGGACCTCAACTGGAGCAATCTCCTCCTTGAAATAGCCAGCCTCCTGGGCGGCAATGGCCTTTTGATATGAACGGATGCAGTATGCGTCCTGATCCTCACGAGTAAAGCCGTGGTCACTGGCACACTCCTCACCCTGAAGTCCCATGTGCTCCTTCTTGTAGGCATCGGTCAGACCGTCCTTGATAAGACCGTCAATCAATGACTGGTCTCCGAACTTAGCGCCGTTGCGCATGTTGGGGAGGTAGTGGGGTGTGTTGGACATGCTCTCGGCTCCGGCAGCAACGACGATTTCGGCATTGCCAGTCATAATGGTCTGAGCACCAACAATGATGGCCTTGATGGACGAGGCGCACACCTTGTTGACGGTGGTGGCTATGGTCGACTCGGGGAGGCCAGCACCAATGGCACACTGGCGGGCAGGATTCTGGCCGAGGCTGGGAACCACAAGTCAGCAATTGATCTGATGGAGAATACATGGATTGGGTTGCTAGCATGCTTACTTTGCGGAGAGGACATTGCCAACAAAGACTTCCTCAACGTCGGTGGGTTTAATGCCGGCACGTTCAACGGCAGCTGCGCGGAAATGTCAGGGTAAACACTGAGGTATCTAACATGGAGAACATACACTTGATGGCGTGAGAGCCAAGCTGGATGGCACTCAGGCTTGAGAGGGAGCTGTTCTCTGTGTGAGCTGGCTATGGCCCCTCCTTTGCACATGGTGGCACAACATACCCCAAGAACATGCCCGTGGGCGTGCGGGCAGCCGAGACAATGTAGACTGGAGGGAGAGACGACATTTTGGGGTATCTTGCAGAAACTGGAAAGTAGAGAGAAAGATGGACGAGGGCTGAAAGAGGATCAGACGACTGGATTGCCTCTGTACTCACTTATATATCCGGTAGCAAAGTTGAACCTTTTCCAGATTAGTTTCTTGCGACAGCGGCAAGGCGACCAGGGCAACCTGCTTGTGTTCGGGCAGTTTTGGTCCCTGCAGCGCGCTTTCTCCCCTATTGGCTGCCGCCCTCACCGCCTACGCTAACCCGCCGTACGCGGAAGTTACCTTTTCGCGACATTCCCGACTTTTGCGATAGCTTCGACCTGTTCGACGCGCACTATCCCCGCAGCCGCCATGGACGACCTTTACGACGAGTTCGGAAACTTTATTGGCGAGGCTGAGTCCGACGAAGATGTCCAGAGCGTTGGCGATGCAGCCGACGCCTATGTCGTCGACGATGAAGACGAGGCGGAGCCTAACAACCAGCAGTTGATGGAGGTCGACGATGGACCATCCAATGCCGTTGTCCTGCACGAGGACAAGCAATACTACCCTTCCGCTTCGGACGTATACGGCCCCGATGTCGAGGTGCTGGTGCAAGAGGAAGACACACAGTCGCTGGCCCAGCCCATTGTCGCGCCAGTCGTGCAGAAGAAGTTCTCGATTGAAGAGGCCGACTTGCCACCAGTCTACCATTCCAGAGAGCTACTGACTGATCTGATGAACTTCCCAGATCAGATTCGGAACATTGCCATTGCTGGACACTTACACCATGGAAAGACTGCGTTTATGGACATGCTGGTCATGGAGACGCACGACATCCAGGACCGCCTCGACTACAAGAGGGGAAAGAAGCGCGAGGAGCAGCTACGCTACACCGACGTACACGTGCTCGAACGCGAGCGCGGCCTCTCAATCAAGGCGGCGCCAATGAGCCTGGTGCTCCAGAACACAAAGTCGAAGTCGCACCTTTTCAACATACTCGACACCCCCGGTCACGTAAACTTTGCCGACGAAGTCGCCGCCTCATTGCGCCTGGTAGACGGAGTGGTGTTGGTGGTGGACGTTGTTGAGGGTGTGCAGGTCAACACGGAGCAGGTCATCAAACATGCGGTCCTCGAGGACTTGCCTCTCACGCTGGTCATCAACAAGATGGATCGCCTGATTCTGGAGCTGAAGCTACCGCCGAGCGACGCATACTTTAAGATTAAACACGTCATCGAGGAGGTCAACACTGTCATCGAGAACACCATCCCTGGTCGTGGTGAGAGCAGGCGTGTAAGCCCTGAAAAAGGCAACGTCGCTTTCGCCTGCTCCAGCATGAGATGGTGTTTCACCATTCAGTCGTTTGCCAAGATGTACTCCGACTTTTATCCTGGCCCCTCAAAGCTTCCAGGATTTGGCGTTCCCATGAAGGGACTGGACATCGAGAAGTTTTCCATGCGACTTTGGGGCGATATTTTCTACAACCCAGGAAGCCGCAAGTTCAGTCGCAAGCGGCAAGAGGAGGGATCGCAACGGTCTTTTGTCCACTGGATCCTAGAGCCCGTCTACAAGATTTACTCGCATACGCTCAGTCAGAGTCCGGATGATCTCAAGGAAACACTAGAAACTCTGGGCATACGGCTCAAGCCATCCGAATACAAAGCGGACGCGAAGGAGCTAATGCGACTCGTATGCCAACAGTATTTTGGTCCTTCCCTGGGTTTTGTAGATATGATCACGCAGCACGTTCCATCGCCAGAGGAAGGTGCACAACGACTTCTGCAAAAACACTACACTGGACCTTTGGACACAAAAACGGCCGAAGCGATGCAAAAGTGCGACCAGAACGGCCCTCTTGTCATACATGTCACAAAGCTCTTCAACGCGACCGACGCAAAATCATTCACTGCATTGGGTCGAGTGCTGAGTGGTACCGCAACTTCTCCGCAGTCAGTGCGTGTACTCGGCGAAGGCTATACAATTGAGGATGAGGAAGACATGGTTGTTGCAACAGTGACAGATACATGGATAGCTCAATCGAGGTACAACATCCCAGTCAGCGGCGTGCCAGCAGGCAACTGGGTATTACTTGGCGGTGTCGACAACTCAATAGTCAAGACGGCAACAATCGTAGCGACCAAGCTACCGGAAGAGGAGGACGCTTATATCTTCAAGCCTATCAAGCACTTCTTTGAATCCGTTTTCAAGGTTGCCGTCGAACCAATCAACCCCTCTGAGCTCCCAAAGATGCTTGACGGTCTCCGCAAGATTAACAAGTCATATCCGCTCATCACCACAAAGGTCGAGGAATCAGGAGAGCACGTGGTTCTCGGTACTGGCGAGCTTTACATGGACTGTGTATTGCACGATCTCCGACGACTGTATGCTGACATGGAGATCAAGGTCTCTGATCCAGTCACCCGGTTCTGCGAGACCGTCGTTGAGATGTCTTCGATAAAGTGCTACGCTTCCACTCCGAACAAGAAAAACAAGCTTACCATGATTGCTGAGCCGCTAGACCCAGGAATCGCTGAAGATATCGAAGCGGGCAAAGTCAACATCAAAGATCCTGTCCGTGTAGTTAGCAAGTTTTTTGAGCAAAACTACGGGTACGATCTGCTCGCAGCCCGCAATATCTGGGCTTTCGGACCAGATGACATGGGTCCCAACATCCTACAAAATGACACACTCCCTACAGAGGTCGACGGCAAGATTCTTCGAAGCGTGCGAGACACCCTTCGACAGGGTTTCAGCTGGGCCACGCGCGAGGGCCCGCTCTGCGAAGAACCTATCCGAAACACGAAGTTCCGTCTTACCGATGTTGAGCTTGCATCGGAAGCTATTTTCCGCGGTGGTGGTCAGATCATTCCCACGAGTCGACGAGCATGCTACTCATCTTTCCTCATGGCGAGTCCCAGGCTGATGGAGCCGGTATACTCGTGCAGTATGATTGGTCCATCCGACACAAAGAGTAGTCTTTACACAGTTCTTGCACGGAGAAGAGGGCACGTTCTACAAGATGGACCCATTGCAGGTACTCCACTTTACAATGTGCGCGGTCTAATCCCGGTCATCGACTCTTTCGGTTTCGAGACCGATTTGAGGGTACGTATACAATCCGCTCTAAGGTAAATATCTACTAACCCTAATCAGATCCACACACAAGGCCAAGTCTCTCTCTCCCTTGTCTTTGATCGCTGGTCCATTGTCCCTGGTGACCCTCTCGACACAAGCATCTCAACCCGCCCCCTCGAACCCGCAACCGCACAACAACTAGCACGCGACTTTGTGCTCAAGACCCGACGAAGAAAGGGTCTGGCTGAAGATGTTACTGTCAAAAAGTTTTTGGAGCCCGAGCTATGCCGTAGTTTGATTGAAAGCGGCGTGCTGGATGGATAGGAGATGTATGTTTGTAATACCATGCAATGGAGTAATGGCGTCAACGCACGATTTTGAATGAACGAAGGAGGTAATTCAAAAGCATTATGAGTAGGAAATCCCAGACCAGGGATCATCTAGTAGGATTGGCAATAAAATATACCCGTCGCCGTATCCATTCCGCACTCTTATCTTTACACTGTGTGACGGTATCCAAAAACGGACTTTGTAAGCAAAGAAACACGGGATATAGACTCAATTTATTGCAGCGAGAACCCAGACGTACAACTGTTTTTTTTTTTAGAAAAAAAAGAAGGTATAGATATTCGGGTATCAAACACAAGCCATATCCACGAACAAGTCTCACAAAAACCCACACTTTACCAATACATAAAGTCGCATAAGAAAGACAAAACCATACGCCCAACCCATCCAGTTCCAGCGATTCAAAAAGAAGAAAAACCCGTTAACCCGCCATCATCCCTCCCAACCCACCTAATACTCATCTTCCTCCTCACTCTCCTCAGCAATAACCTCATCTTCAATCTCCTCATGAACCAGCACACCCATTTCATACGTCTCCTCCCTAACCGCCTCTGCCTCTTCCCAACCAACGCTACAGTCCTCCATGATGAGCAAGACCGCCGCCTCAGGCACCATAACTTGCTGTACGAAAGCCGCCACACCGGAGGCCTGCACGACGGCATCACCGCAGCCCTTGATGTCTTCTTTGAGGAGGTCGAGGATATTTTCGGTGATGAGGCGTCGGCCGTGGGGACCGTAGTAGCCCGGGTATGCAGCGCGATCGTCTAGGGCGTAAGCTTCGAGTTCAGCCTGTTGCGATGGCGATAGATCTGTGCGTTTAGATGGGATAGACGCTGCTTTTCCCGTTAGAGCCACAGGTTCGTATCGTGATCTGTGGGGGCTGGGGCGTTCGTTTAGTAAGATTTGGCGGAGAGTGGGTTTGTGGGATTTGAGGCGGCGGGGGAGGAGGCTCCAGTTTATCGAGGGGTAACCGGCGGAGATGTAGGATTGCTGTGCGGAAAGCTTTTTGTGAAGGTGGCAGAATGCGGATTTGTGTTTTACGGTTTTGGGCTTGGAGGTCCAGAAGGGCCAGTAGTCGGAAGGGGAGACGGGGTGGCTGCAGAGGGGGCAGCGGGTGCCTTCTTCTTCGATTTCGGGCAGGCGTTCGATGTAGTTGCTTACTTCGTTGAGGTGCTCTTGGGCGGCGCTTGAGTCGGGTTGTGAGGAGGGGGGGTCGTTGTTTGCTTTCCATGAGTTGAGTTGTTTTAGTAGCTGGGCTGATTTTGCGGCTTTCTTGGACTTTTCGGACATGGGTTGTTCTGATATTGAGTCGAGTACTTCGGATAACTTGTCGTCATCATAAGGGACAGCTCCGGCGTCCTCGTCTTTGGCCTTCTTAGATGTTGCTTTACTATTCACTCTCCGTAAATCGTCGTCATCGGATAGATTAGGTTCACCCAGTTCCTCCGCAAGGTCTTGCAGCTCATCGTCATCCAACATGGAGACACTCGAGTCGCTATCAGAATCTTGGCTCGGTTGCTTGCCTTTTGATTGATTCGCTGATCCATATATTCGCACAGCAGGCTTAGGCGGACTCCTCCCAAATTTCTTTGGTACTGGCTCATGTATATTTTTTGTTTTTGAACCATATCCTTTTGCGTTCTTGTTATTCTTCTGAGAAACATGCTCCATACCCCACTGAATTGGCCCGTCGCTCACTGATGCTTGAGAAGATGCAAGAGCATTCTCTTTATCCTCAGTTGGTCCATCTCCTGCTTGGAGTTCCTGACTGTTTTTGTATGTACCCCTTGTTGGCGCTCGTATTGATACACTCTTCTTCGCAGGCTTCTTTTGTGGTCTCTTCAATTCTGTATCCACAGTGCGAGGTGCTGGCATAGTAGGTTTCGAGGACTTGGCTGGTCGTGGTGGGGGAGCACGTAATTCATCGTCGGAGGACAGTGGATCGGCATTGATGTCGATCTCTTCCTGTTGCTTTGCAGGAATTGTCATGTTGTCTGCTCGTCTCTTTCCTGCCGGCTCTTCGTGATCATCCTCGGTCGCATAGCGCTTCCCATTTACAGAGCGGAGCAGTGGACGAACATTCTTCCTAGTCAGACCCGCCATTGTCGCATGGGATACTGCGACCGAAGTATCCTAGAATCAGACGGTACAAGTAAGATCTGACACTGAGTGAATCGATTCAGAACCGATTATGCGCTCATGCGGAGACATGCGGACGATTCGTCGAACGCGAGACGCGCAGAGACCGCGTCTGCGCTAGTCTTATCTTATCGTCAAGCTCCGCCAAAAAAAGTTCCAGTCGCATAGCAGCGCATCGCATCTTCAATCCCACACTCCGCATACCTCTATCCCACAGCACGACCGCCCGTCATGGCCCTAGACGATTCCCTTCAGCAACCGATCAATTTCACTGGCCATCGCCACCTGATTTCCCGCCTCCTGCTTGCAACCCTCACCGGCCGACCCGTTCGCATATCGCAAATCCGCTCTTCGTCGACCAACCCCGGCTTAACTCGCCATGAAACAAATTTCATTCGGCTCCTCGATTCAGTAACAAATGGCTCGCAAATACAATTTAGCATGACGGGCACAACGCTCGTCTACCGCCCAGGACTCATCACAGGCTCAGCCGAAGGCCTTGGCGCAAGCGGAGGTGTAATCCGCCACGAAATACCTGCAGAATGCAGAAAGCGAGGAGTAAGCTGGTGGCTTATTCCTCTATGCATCCTTTCGCCATTCAGCAAGGGCAACATGAACGTCATTTTCCACGGCGAAGGCTGCGTCACCTCCTCTACAGTCACCGGCGACGTTTCCGCAGACACCGTCCGCACCGCTATACTTCCCCTCTACAAAAATTTCGCCATCGAACGAAACATCGAACTGCGCATCCTCAAGCGCTCATGCGCCCCCGCAGGCGGCAAAGGCGCAGGCGGCGAAGTCCAACTCGTATTCAACCACCAAGTCCGCCTCCCCAAGACCCTGCACCTCTTGAATCCCGGCCGCGTCAAGAAAATCCGCGGCGTAGCATACTGCGTCGAAGTCCCCAAGACAAACAATGAACGCATGACCTTCACCGCAAGAGGCATCCTGAATAAATTCGTACCAGACACGTACATCTTCTCAGACGCAAGTCCCGCTCCTTTAATCCCGACCAACGCAAAAGGTCACGCCTCAGGCAAAGTAAAAGGTGCCGTTGGCTTCGGTATCAGTCTCGTCGCAGAAAGCAGTACAGGCTGCATATACTCGGCCGACGTGTGCTCCCCGCCTGACGGTGGTGTCCCTGCAGACGAAATAGGCAAGCAGTGCGCGTACCAGCTGCTCGAGAAGATTGCACAGGGAGGCTGTGTGGAAAACGTAGCCGCGCCTACGGTCCTCATGCTCATGGCTATGGGTAGCGAGGACGTCGGTAGAGTGGCGCTAGGCAAGGAGGTACTAGCCAGCGAAGAAATCATCCAGTTAGCAAGGGACGCGAAGATGTTTGGCGGTAGCGCATGGGGCTTTAGGGAAGCAGGTGGTGAAAGGGAAGAAATTGTTGTCAGTGTAGTAGGAAAAGGCGTGGGTAATGTGGGAAGAAAAGTGGCGTAAACATTTTTGTCTATCTGGGACGAAGCCAAAAACAAAACAGAGGTTCTATCCGTATACAAAAATAATGATACCCCCCCCCGACATACTCTCTCACGTTTCAATAATCTCCAAGATTTGTTCATTCACAAATCCACATTTACTTCATGTTGAAGAAGAAAGCCAACCAATTCCTTTTCATATTCTATTCCGATTATAAAAAGTGCCAAGCGCGAGAAAATGTTTTGCAAACGCCGCCCAAATGGAAGTCTGCCCGAGTTCCAACGGGGAGAAAACGAGAATGGCAGAACAAGGAAAAAACGCCTGTCGTACGTAGGACACGTAGATGCGAGCTTGAACTTTCAAGACAACAAGACCGAGAGAGATAGGGAAAGAGGAATGGGTCGTCTACTTCCTCCCTACGGAGCTCCCTCCACTTCCGCTTCCCTCTTCCTCCTCACTTTCCTCATCACGCGCATATTTCTCGTTGAAACGTTCCTGATCCCTATACGGGCCCTCGTTGCCATCATCATCATCACTCAGGAGATCCTCATCGGACTCGCCCGCAAAAGCATCGTAAAGCTCACCACCCCTCTTCGCACGCTTCTTTCTCGCACCGGCTCCAGCACCAGAAAGCAAGCCTGCATCGTCCCTGTCCTCGTCGCCGTCCAGAACCTCGAATTCGTACGCGTCGCGCGAATCCTTGATGCGCTTGCGACGGGCAATGAAGAGGTAGGTGCAAAGACCTGCGATGAAGACGAGGATGAGGCCGAGGGCACCATAGATCCAGATTTGGGTGTGTTTGGAGACGCCAAAGGTTGGGAAGGGGCTGGGGAGGAAGTTTTCGCTACCTTCGGCGGTAGACTCCGTTGCGGTTGCGGTGGGCGCAGTGGCAACAGAAGTCTGGGAACTACTGTCAGCCGGCGTTGGGGTGGGTTTCTGGTTGACGGGGCGGTCAGGATGGTCAGCAGGGAGGGAGGTGATGGTTGGCTCAGCACTAGAGGGGACAGCGACGCTGGTGACGTGCGCGGGATGATCGTCAATCTTGTCGTGGTCATCGTCCTCGTGCTCGTCGGGCATTGGATGGGGCTTGGCTTTGGATGCGTCAATGCATTCGCCCCAGAGACGGAGTTTCCAGTCGGTGAAAACGCCAGTCTTGCCGTTGCCTGCCTTTACATCTTTGATAATAACGGTCCAGTTGCCAATGGCGCTTTCGCCCCAATGGGCGACTGACATAAAGGTCCAGTCAATGTAACCATAGGGCGCATCATCCGAGCGGCGAGCAGTTGAGAGATGCGAGACCATGCCAGCAGGCGATCGCAGCTCAACACTGAGGTCTCCACGACGCTGGTGCTCTACGTTCATGGTCAAGGTAATGTGCTCCACACGCTCAAAGTTTGCGTTCTTGAGCATGTCTGGTGTGACTTCGAATGCACTAGCTAGACCCTTATCGCCCTCTGGAATTGGCTTTCGGACATGCATCCAGGGCGAGTAGAACCAGGCTTGAGGCTTGACGAGCTCCCAGGTCTTGGCCTTTTCAACAATTGCGTAAGCGTCGAGCTTTCCATAACCAAATTGGTGGCTATACATGCGGCCAGAAGGCGTCTTGACCCAGTCGCCAGGGGTAGTGAGAGTGACAGCGGTCATGACTGTGAGCCATTGGACATCGCGCCATGTCAATTCAGGGCGAGCTTGGAGCACCAGGGCGTACACTCCCACACCAATTGGTCCAGCAGCAGATGTGCCTCCATGTGAGCTGGTGCACTTGTTCAAGCCCACGTCGGTGGTGTGAATGGCATCGCCGCCACCGCTGCTGTACGTTACAACAAGCTGGGCAGAACATGCCTCAGAGTAGTATGGGTGGTCGTTGTTCTGATCAATGGCGCCGACAGTGATGCTGTAGATGCTATTGGTGTAACCGTCGAAATTGCAGTTGTCGCCGCTGGCAGCGCCGTTGCCGGCTGCAAAGACGTAAATATTGCCCTTGCCGCCACGGCCGTTCTGGACAGCGTTCACCATAGCCTTCTCAATAAGAATTCCTGGTGCCTGCATAGTTTTGCCATCATCAGGGGGACCCCACGAGCACGAGTAAATGTCATTTTTCTGCATCTCAAAGTTTATAGCAAGAGCTTCGTCAACGTCTGTAATGTCGCCCGAGAGGATGCGCACGCCAGAAACCTTGGCTTCGTAGGCGAGTCCAAGTCCACAGGCATCGTTCTTTCCCGCAGCAATTTCTCCAGCACATCGTGTTCCGTGGCGGTCGTCAGAAAGCTTTGGAGTGGGTAGGTCTTCGTGATCATTATAGTCGTGAGAGCCCTCGGCGAAAAAGTTGTCCTTCAAGTCGTTGCTGGTGTAATCCAGACCATCGTCCACAACGCATGCAGTGACGCCTTTGCCAGTGATGCCCTGCAGCCACACACCGGTGACGTTGATATCGTTGCCCTGCGCCTTGACGTTGAAAATGTGCCACTGCTCCTCGAAAATGGGATCTTTGATTTGTAGCTGCTCTGCGACCTTGCGCTGAGCTGTGATGGCTTCCGTGACCGGGACGGCTCGATCTGGCAGTGGAGGTATTACACTGCGCTTCCAGTGACGGGGCTTGAGCTTTTGCTTCTGCGCGAAGCGGATACTGTCAAGGGGGTGGTACTCGGAGCCGACTTGACGCTTCCGCCGACGCCTCTTGAGCTCTTGCCGTGCATCGTCTACAATGTCGTTGTCATGTTTCGGGGCTTTAAAAATGTGGTGGTGGTCGAGCGAGTCGAAGGGGCCGTCGTAGGTCAAGCCCAGGTGGGCGGCGACTTCTGAGGGGGACTCGGACGGGGAGATGTGGATGGCATAGTAGTCATGGGTCGTGTAGTTGCGGGGTGGGAGGCGATTTCCTGCTGCAGCGAGCGTCGCCACCGACAGCAGGCCCCAAAAGTGAATGCGCATGGCGAAGGCGCCGAAAGGAAAGGAGGCTATGAGCAACCGGGTGCGGTCATGTAGTAGCTGAGGCGCGTTGCACGGGGCTGACCAGGTACAGACGACTGTCTATGTGCGGGGCGGGGGAGATTTAAGAGTTGAGGGGCGAGGGCTCAGGGATGAGGATACTGTGGTCGTCGGGTCAGAGTAGGGATGGATAGATGGCTAATTATTCGGCTTATGGAGAAGCCAGATTGCGCCGGCTAACCTGAGGGATGCGGAATACCAGAAGCAGGGATAGGTCAGGCCAACCGTGCCAGCGGGTGTATGGACTCAAAGAAAATGCAACCGGGGGATGGATGCGGGAGAAGACGCGGAGAGTCAAGTAATTGAAGAAGACAATGAGGTCTCTCGGCGGCGCTATGTGGTTTGGAGTGGGAACGTGGCTGAAGGGCGCTGGTGAAACAAGCATTTGTGAGAGCGTGTACTCTCTACTCTGCCCTCGCGCCACACACGCCACACACGCCTTACCTGCTTGGGCTACCCGCATCCACGCTTATGCTTACATGTGCAGAAGCTGATACTAATAGGGCCAGCCCACTTAGGCGCCGAGCCTACTCGACTTACTGTGTACTAGTGCTGCTAGCAGGCCTGCCATGCCATCCATGTCTGCTGCTCTGCTGTGCCGCCCGCCGGTGGGTGTGGGTGTGGGTGCATGTGCATGGCATGGCATGGGTCGAGGCGGGCGGCCGGGCGGCCGTGGCAGACGCTGTCTCCAGCCATCTCTCTTTCACGCCCTCCCGCCACCCATTTCCACCATGCGCTGACCATGGATATCAGTCTCTTCCCTGCTGCCCTACCGCTCCTCCTCTTCCCTTGTATATAGCATCTTCCTGTAGTGTGGCTCCCCCGTCGTCATTGCGCTTCATTTAGACCAGAGTTTTTTTTGCGCTGTCAGTCTGCCAGCGCCGAGGCCGCACCGCCACACTTGTTCTTCGTACTACACCTACAGTAGGTAGCTACCACAAATGTTACCACTCGAGCCGCTTCTCTAAGGGTCCATGTGACAGTGCTCCCTGTGCAAAGAGTCTGCATCACAGCCTGAGATCTGTCCCTTCTTACACCCAGTGTTGGTGGTGGCCCCCACTCGCTTCAACATTGCCCGCCTCATGAGCCCGTCGCAACATGGAAGAAAAGCGGAACAGCGGCTCCTACGCCGAGCGAGCTGTTAATATTAATATTGCTCTCCGCAAGACGCCGGACAGCTCTGCCCCAAAGCGCGCAACGTCATACCGTCGCCCAGCCGATGCCCAACCAGCTGGCGCATCTCCACCCGAGACCGCCATGTCCACCGCCATGCCCAGTAACACTGCCCGCCCAGTCGTAGCTTCCTCCTCAGATCCTGTCACTCAGAGACGGCGGAACAGCAAGATCATCCTTCCTCCCACCACCGGCGCAATGGGCGAGTCCATACCGGCTGCGCCAGACGTACCGCGCGCACCGCCCTCGTCATACAGAGACCCATACTCAAGAGGCGTCAGGGTCCCGGCACGCACAAGCTCTGGACGGGCACGCGATCCAGCTATCCAATTGAACCCGAGTAGACAGCAGGCGACCATCCAAACAGCCGCAGATAGACTCTACAACCTACGGTCACCACCATATGCTCCCGTCGAGCCACTGGCAGGAGCTGTGGGGCGGCGAGGCTCTCAGCGTGGTCCTTCTGTGCCAGATCGGTCACCGCTCCAAAAGCTGGAAGGCAAGCTGGATGACATCAGCAAAGAAGAGAGGAGAGCGAGGATACTGGAAGCCGAGTTGGCAGCGCAAGAGAAGGCTGAGGCCGAGGCACGGGAAAGGCGGGCGCGAGAAGCCGCTCAGAACCAGCAGCGAGTCGTATCTCAGCCCGTGGCAACACCAGACAACACCTCTGGTGCGCCCAACCGAGCAGGCAGTAGCAAGCGTCATGTTTCGATGCCAACAGAGAAGAACCATGCGTCCCCCCAAATAACCCAGTGGGAATCCGACAATGGCTTCATTTACGACCTTAACGAGCCCTGGGATCCTTCTCCACCCGAGGGCGGAGCAGTCCAACCCGCTCAACAGGCCACCAGACACAAGGGTCA